CGTTGGCGCATCACTCGATATGGCGGGAGGACGGTAGCATCCTCTCTCGGAGGTAAGGGCAACACACCCGTTCAGGGTAGTTAAAGTATCGTTTGCGCAGGGTGTGGAGTTCGAGTTGGCCACTAGAAAAAAAAATAAGAGATGCTATGGACAATGATTGTCCACTGAAGACCACCGTTAGCAACTGGTGAGACCTGAGACCACGTGAGCGACTGGTTCGTGGCGCAAATCTACTGGATCTCAGATGCTGTGTACCACCCAAGATGAACAAACCTTGACGAGGGGAAGGGTGTCTATCGGTTGAATCTGTTCTGATTCTGCAGTATTGTTGCTGCGGAATATCCTACTTGCTGCGATCACATGTGCGCTCATAGCCCTGGATTAGCTGTGAGGCAACCTTTACATACCATAACTCCAATGACACCAATATTTGTGAAGCTATATCTCTTCAGTATACTTTGTTCCTCCTTATGCTTTGGATTATACATAGTTTCTGCGGGAGGCAAAGACAGCTGCTTAGGGCAAATTCCATCCTCCCAGAGATGCAGCCGTTCTTGCTTACCTGGTAGATATGGATAACTTACTGGCAGTCGTATTGGCCGATCAAGATAGCTCAGTATGATTTGAACTGATAGATTTATTACGAGAAATATCCCGAGAGAAGTACCATTCCTGTCCACCGATTATAACAAAATCTTACTTGTTCAGGGTTCGTGAAAGCAAGTTCGCAAAAGAGACGAAACCAAGCTCGTATTGACTCGGAGGGAATCAAACTGAGAATAAGAAAAAATAAAATAAAAAAAATAAAAAAGATTATTCAACATTGATCCAGATTGCAGAATACGAGAAAGGCAGTCGACCCATCGGCCAGCGTCTGGGCCGTGGAGGTTGGAAAGTGTGGGGAATAAATCATCCCAAAAATCGGACAAAAATCGCTCAATCTCCAAACATCATCCGACTCGTGCATAAACCCACCATGGCCTCCGACCCCCCTTCAGTCGATGATCCAAGTGATCGTCGGCCAAGACCAGTATCAACCGACAGTCCACGGACAACAAGAAGCAGGAGACATCTACGGTCGTCGTTACCGACTCGGGTGAGCAGTGCCTGCGAACGATGCCGTCTCCATAAATCTCGGGTAAGCCGATTTTCCTGCTCGTTCTCGGCATTGGAGGGCCCTGCTAAAGACGACTGGGGGTGCTATGGCAGTGTGATCCTTTCCGACCGTGTACGCTCTGTGTCAGAGCCAATGTGGATTGCCAGGCTCTGCCGGCGCACCAGAAAGATGCGGTTCGAAGGCAAGTTGGTAGAATACCCTTCTCGGCTTCAGATGGCTGATATGCGGGTGCAGCCGAGTGGCATCCCGACGTACCCTGAGGAATTCTCGGCGTCAGTCGAAACCCCCACGCATGGGCTCAGCTGAGCAGCCGCCGGATCGTGAGGACAGTCCTCGCCATGAGGTGGAAGCGCCGGGCGCTAATGCGCCCAGTGCTGACTTCCTTCCGGCGGATGAGCACGGCGCCCGCTCAGCCATCGACTGCGGCGAGGCGGAATCGGCCATGGGACTGGCGCGCAAGATCTGTGAACTGGGCAGTCAACACATCGACGAGCGAACAACATTTGCTATCCCAGGATACCGAGCAAGTACCAGTGCGCCCGTCGCGCAGTCGGCCGTCGCTGGCCAACGGCTGCCCATCTCCTCCATCTTGGGCCAGCCATTACCCATTGGGGAGTTGATGTATGAGTTGTTGGAGGAGTATTTCGATGCCATCCACTGGTTCTCCCTGGTGGTGTATGAACCGAAATTTCGCAGACAACTGCGCTCGATCGAAGATGGCTCGGCCTATCCATCCCAGAAGCCGTTCCTCTTGCTGCTGGCCGTCATGCTCGGAATGGCAGCCTGGTACCGATCACAACGGAATTGCGACGCTGAAGATACGAGGGAACATTGGCGACAATGGAGTGCCGATCTCATAAAGATCGTTGAAGCGAACCTGGTTGAACTGATGGACCAACCGTCAGTGACAGCCGTGCAGACCTGCATCCTCCTGGGCTCGCACCATGTCTACCATGGCCGACCGAACCTCTCCTTCGCGCTCTTAGGCGCAACGATCAAAATGTCTCAAGCGCTGGGCATGCACCGCGAACCCGTCCAGGGCGAATTCGGAGACATCGAAGAAAGAAAGCGAGTGTGGTGGACGATCTACACATGGGACCGGTTTGCGTCCATCACCTACGGTCGGCCGTTGGGAATCAACGACAAGGACTGCAATCTCAGCATGCCGGCTGACATGTTAGAGAACCCATCCTTTACCACACCGGGATCCGGCGACGATAATATGATATGCTATTCCGCGTACCAGCGCGAGTTAAATCGTCTCTACCTGATCGCATCCCCGGCGCTCGAAGCGGTATTCGGTTCGCGTACCTTTCGTACATCGCAACAGCTGACTGGAAATCCATATGCTTCTCTGGTCAGTCATGCCACTCAGGAGCTGCAAAGATGGCGAGCCTGCCTCCCAGCTCATCTCGCATTAGATCTGGAGCGAGACTATCACCCGGACGGAGAACCCGGGTCGAGGGCGCACGCGTTACAGTCCCTGTCACTGCAACTCACCTATGACAATGTCCTCATCGTTCTCCATCGGCCACTGCTGGCACGACAGGTCGACCATCTCACCTCAACCACACGGCCACCGCACGGCAGCAGCGACAGCGGTTCACCTGCATCCCATCCGGCGGCTGCATCCTCCGGCCACTCCACTCCAGGCCTCTCGTTCGAAGCACCATTCCCGACCGCACAGGCAGCCAGTTCAGACCTCTGGATGAATGCAGCCGTGCGAACCGCCCGCGTAACCGAAATGCCGGTGCTCGCCCAGCTCGCGACAGACAGTCACCTCGTCGCCTTCCTCGCCATCAACCTCTTCAACGCTGCCATCGTGCTGGTCGTGATGGCGCTCTCCGAACCCCTGTCCGATACCGCGCAGGTCGTCAAACGGACCATCACACGGATCCTGCGTCTCCAGGACCTCATCGGGACCCGATCAGCCCTGTCAAAGCAAAGTACCACGGTGCTAAAGAACGTGGTTACCATGCTCCTCCGGCGCGAGTCGGAGGTTATCTTTGGGCCCATCACCGGGTTCCCCCAGAGACTTGGGCATCATGTCACGCAGGATCCGACCGGTCTCGGGCGCATGTCCGTGGAGGATACGCTGCGACTACCCCTAGATGGGACGATTGGCCTATCTGATCCAATAGTGGGAAATCATATCCGACCTGATCCGAGCCGGGCGGTTCGACTGAATGAGAGTTTGACCACTGTTCATCACGGTAATTATCTTCTTTCGTGATTGTACAGTCCGATGCTAATGCTAAACCTTGGTTAGTTCTGCCACCTGGGAATGACCGCTCCATCAATGTTCTCTCCGGCGAAAGCCATCAGACTCATCAGCCGCCCGATGAAAACACCGAATCGCAGTTCACCCTTCAGGTCCCGATGGACTATGGCTGGGACGGTGCTGGCGCTGTCCCCATGGGGGTGGAAGACCCGTATCTAGGGAATGGCGAAAGCGGCATGTATTGGTTATGGGATATGACATGGGACGGTGTGGGCGTTTAAGGCATGAGCAGTTCTTTTGATTGATTTATTTACTTTTTACTGTACAGTTCTAAAGATCTATATCCACTGTATATCCCTCAAACCAACAGACTACTATACCGAAGCCTGTTTGGCAACCTCGGGGTCGACGTCCGGCCCGTAAATCACACTCTTGATACCCCCCTTGCCAGCAACATGCTGGAACGCTTCCTCGACCTGCGAGAAAGAGAATTCATGGGTGACCAGCCCATCGACCTGGACCCGTCGCGAGTTCAGCAAGCCAACGGCCAGCTTGAAATCGCCGGGACCGTACCGGAAGCTCCCCTTGAACGCAGCCTCCTTGTCACAGATTTGCCCAACGGGTAAGGACAGATTCGGCCTACCAAGTCCGACTTGCACGAAGGTTCCACCATGCGCCAGCGCATGAATACCACAGTTGATGCAGGGCTCAGCCCCCGAAGCATCAAGGACAACATTGGCACCATCGCTTAGTCCAGCCGTGGCTGCTAAGGCATCAGCGTTTAACTCGGGGGACTTCTCCGCGCTCATCTGGTAGGTGTGTGTGGCGCCGTACTGCCGTGCCGACTCGAGTCGAGCAGCCACGATATCTACGGCGACGACCGTCGACGCACCGAACGCGCTCGCAACGGCGCAGCAAAGCAGTCCAACCGGCCCGGCGCCGAACACAATGACCGACTTATCCTGTAGATCGCCCGCTAGTCGACATCCGTGCACCGCGACACCGAGCGGTTCGACCAGCGCGCCGTCGCGCAGCGAGATGTGTGCCGGCAACTTGTAGCAGCATTCAACCGGTACGCGGTAGTATGTAGACAGCGTTCCGTCATAGGGAGGGGTTGCGGCAAAACGCATGTCCTTACACAGGTTATACCGACCACTGCGACATGGGCTGCAAGTGTTGCAAGCGATTCCGGGCTCGATCGCGACGCGGTCGCCAACTTCAATGCCGGATGCTTTGGCGCCGCGGGAGACCACTATGCCGGAGGACTCGTGGCCGAGAATTATGGGGCTCTCAACAACATAGCGGCCGATGCGACCGTGTTGCCAGTAGTGGACCTGTTCCTCGGTCAGTTATTGTTGGGGTTGAGGGTGGCTGGATGTATGCGCTGCTTACATCGGAGCCACAGAGACCGGTGGCGACCACTCGCACTATCACATCTCGATCAGATTCTAAGGAAGGGATCTCTCTATCTTCATAGTAAAATGAACCGCCAGGGCGAAGTACGGATGCTTTGTTGACTGTCTGTGAGAGTGGTCAGCGGATGGAAGACGATCAAGATTGATCATCAACATACGGGATCTGTAGACATCTTGCTCCTTAACCTCCAAGCACTGGCTTCGGAAATGAATTTGTGAGGATGAGAAATCAAGGATTGAATTGCGTGGTTTTCTATCGCTGAAGGAGCTGGTTGAAATAAGTAGGATGTACTTCGGCTTGATCACGGTTCCGGCGGAACATCCACCTTAGCCTTCAATCATTTCGGTTCCGGTCTCAAAGCTCCAGCTTGGTACCTGCGGGGTTGTGGGGAAATGGAGAACGTAACATAGTGTGCGCTTTATTTTTGAGCTTCAATTCCTCCCGCTGATCCTTTACTTGGTTGGTGTATGCCCACCTCCTTTTCATTGTGCATAGAATGGGACCTTCTCGGCCCGATGAGGCTAAGCGACCTGTTCAAGCTCAGACTCGGATTACCGACTATTCGTCTCGGCAGCACTAACTCTAGCTCTTTATTTGAACGAGCGAGTTGATGTTCCTCGATGTTGCTTGTCGACGTCGCGTCGGACAGCATCATACTGGTCAATGTTCTCAAAGACGCGGCGAAGTACCATCAAACCATGACGTTAGGCCATTTCATTCTATTATAGTGTTTATCATACAACTTTTCATATAGGGGCAGTCCATCTAAGCCTTGGTGTAACGCAGGTAAGGCTTCAGCTCACGGACCTCACCGAACTTCTTCCTCGCATCCTCGGTCGACACGGAGGGGGGCACGATCACGTCCTCTCCGACCGTCCAGTCGATGGGGGTCGCGATGCCCTTCTTATCTGCAGTCTGCAGAGCGTCAATGACACGCAGCACCTCGGCGGAGTTTCTGCCAGTCGAGGCCGGGTAGAGCATAGTCAGACGGATCTTCTTAGCGGGGTCGATGATGAAAACGGCGCGGATGGTGAACGGAATGCCCTTCTCGGCAATGTTGTCAAGGTCCCGCTGGTCGATCATGTCATAGAGGAAAGCGACTTTACGGTCGGGATCGGCGATGATGGGGAATTGCACGGTGGTGCTGCCGACCTCGTTGATGTCTTTCACCCATTCGCCGTGGGAGTCAAGCTTGTCGGCACTCTGTAGGCAAAAGGTCGCATTGGTCAGTCCGATGACCTTTAGCATCGTGTAGTATTCCCGTCTAGCTCACCAGTCCAATCATCTTGACACCGCGCTGGTCAAATTCACCCTTCAACCTGGCAAAGGCGCCCAGCTCGGTGGTGCAGACGGGGGTGAAGTCGGCGGGGTGGGAGAAGAGGATAGCCCAGTTGTCGCCGATGAACTCGTGGAAATCGATCTCGCCATGGGTGGTCTGGGCCTTGAAGTTCGGAGCTATGCCCGTGGTCAACTATGAAACTTCAGTGAATCACGCCATCCATACCGGTGGATCCGAGACGCAGTCGGGGCTGCTCTTGGGGAATGTTGGAGACGAAACGGCGAGCGATAGGCTGCGCCAGAGGCTGTACGCGGGGAAGCTTGGACGCGAGGGAGACCCTGGGGAGGGCAGCCGCCCGGGGAAGGGCCGTCAAAGCTCGGAACCCGGCACGAGGAAGGATGGAAGCCATTGTGACAGGCGGAATTTGGAGTTGAGAGGGTCAATTGAGGTTGAAGTTGAAAAGACTATCTTGAACTGGTTGGTATGGAAGTGAATGGCCGATTGCGTGATTGCGTCAGTGCAGATCCCCAGACTATCCCCTTTTCGGTCGGACTTGGCAGGCGGTGGTTTGCCTCAGGCACTGCCGATAATGTTTAGTGGTGCCTCTGTATAGAAATAGGTTGTAGGAATCTGTGAGATACAGACCATAACAAACTATAACAGTACCTTACAGTGACTGATCTTGGTCTAGGAGTGTTGCTCTGCCGTTAAGGAGCAACAAGAGACGGGGACTACCAGGATTTGTTTTGTGCCAGATGTGGAGAAGTATATATATATCAGCCTGTGAAACCTCATGATTACAACAGATGGAGAACACTTCCATTTTTTCTTCTGGTGAATATCCTCGATTTGCCTTTTGAGTAGATTAAGCTTAATCTTGAATTCCACTGCCTGAGTTTAGACATCAGCATAGAGGATGGCTAGGGCATGACGTCACGGCAACATATGGTAAGGCAGCCAAGTAAAGCCATCAAACAAACAAAGAGTCAAAGACCGTTCTGTGGGTCCTTTAATTCCTGATCGGGCGACCCTCCGCGTGGTGAAGCACCGTTTGGGCCTGACATTTCACGTGGCTCCGCGTCGGTCTGGCCAGATTCAGTCCTGTACGATTCTAAATAGTGGAGTAAATTGACTACCAAGTAAAAAACCAGTCGGACACCGGAACTGGTCAGATCAACACTGCAACTTCCAAGGGAGCACTCCGAATCCCCCCTCCTGATACACCAATTTACACTCAAAGAAAAGAAAAAAGTGACACAAAAGTCATGTGAGACTAGGCAGCCAAAGGTACCAAAATCTCAGCCTCAGACATGACTCAGGCTGGCCTGAGGTGTCGCATGAGGCTGGACTTGTATAAATACGGCTTCATTGTCATCATTCTCCCTGTCACGTTCTTGTACCCGCTTCTTTCTCTGTTACTACACGCCGTGGGTGGCCGTGGGAAATTCTCCCTTTCCCTCAACTCCCCCACCATGGAGCCTTCTTCGTCGTTCGGGAGATTCTTCTATTTCTCATATTTTGCCGTCGGATCATATCTGGCGAAAAGTCTTCTGGACCAGGTGGGCAGCTTGCCGCTACATCTCTTGTATTCCACCGTCGAGGTACAATCACACGACGATGCCTACAACTATCTCCTATTTTGGTTAACGAAGCAACGGTTCAATGAAAACAAAAATCGCCTCATCGCAAGCACCTCCTTGAGTAGCGGCCGGGATTACTTCAGCGAGGACTCCGACGATGGGGAGTTTGACGACATGCTGGACGCGGAAGCCTCCACCGACACCGAGTGGAAGGCCTCATTATCGAATACGCGTCAGCTGCTGTGGTCGCCCTCCGAAGGCATCCACTATTTCAAGTATGGCGGTCGATGCCTGGCACTCACCCGGCAGATCGAGGAACGCGGGCAAATGCTCTACACGCGCACCGACAAACTCCGCATCTCGTGTCTCGGGTGGGATGCGTCCATTTTGAAGCAGTTGCTATTGGAAGCTCGCGTGGAATACTCACAGAAGGAAAAGGGCAAGACGGTGATTTATCGTGGGGCTAAGAGAGCGTACGACAACGACTTCTACTGGGCCCGTTCGACCGCGCGTCCCGCCAGACCGCTGTCCACCGTCATCCTGGACCACGAAGAGAAGACCGCCTTTATCCGAGACGTTCAGCAGTATCTCCACCCCAGCACGATGCGATGGTACAGCGATCGAGGCATCCCCTACCGTCGAGGCTACTTGTTTTACGGTCCCCCCGGCACGGGCAAGTCCAGTCTCGCCTTCGCAGCGGCAGGGTTCCTAGGATTGAATGTGTATATCCTGGACCTGAATGCCACCCAGCTTACCGAAGATGCGTTGGCACAGCTCTTCCAAGCGTTGCCCCGCCGGTGTCTGGTGCTCCTGGAAGACATTGACACGAACGAAGTGACCAGTCGTCGCAGCGATGAATCCAAAAAGAAGCGGAAAGGGAACAACAAGATCTCGCTCTCGGCCTTGCTCAATACGATCGATGGTGTAGCAGCGCAGGAAGGCCGTGTGCTCGTCATGACCACCAACCACCAAGAGAATCTGGATCCCGCCCTTATTCGGCCGGGCCGGGTGGATTACCAGATTGAGTTCAAGCTGGCCAATCGCAATTTGATGATGCAGATGTTTCAGAACCTATTCCGAGACGTACTGCCGAGCATTGACTCACACCTGGAGGACAGCGTGACTGACGCGTTGCTGCTAACTGCGACAGCGGAAAAGGTCCCTCTGCTCCCAGCTGCTGACCACGCCCCGATCCGTCCTGAAAGTCCGGAAGTGGACATGGAGCAGTTAGCGGCCACCTTTGCCGACAAGATTCCCGAACTCACGTTCTCGCCGGCGGAGATCCAAGGCTATCTGCTGTGCCACAAAAGCTCCCCATTAGATGCCATCACACATGTAGAATCGTGGGGGGAGAAGACGCTGGAAGAGAAGAAAAAGAAGGATGCCGAAAGAGAGTTGCAGGAGAACGAGAAGGCCAAGAAGGATAAGAAGGGGAAGAAAGCGAAGAAGGGCAAAAAAGAAACGGCGAGCAAGGAGGAGACCGACGAAGAGAAGGATTCATCCTCTAGTGCGGAGAGTGAGTCGGACGAAGAATCATCGAATGAGGAGAACAAACAGTCCAATGGAACGTACTAATAATGAAGACTGTTTGATGGCACAAGGAGCAATACTGGCAAATGCCAAGAGTAGACCAATACAGTAGAGCAAGTCAGCTGAGAGCCCGCCAAAATTCCATTACGTTTCATTCTCCTTCAAATCAGTCTTGTGTATCCATCTGCACCTTGGTGCTCGTGCTTATCGAGCACCATTCTTCTCGAGAGACGCAATGTGCATCTACGAAAGGCGCTTGTTAGGGACCCGATATACTTGGACTAGATTCGACGTGACATGTCATTACCAAGGCCTTACCGCACGGACAGCTTACGCAAAGATCGCTGCCAAGGGGACGGTGATATGAGTTGGCGGTGCTCACAGCCATGTTGATCAGGCTCGTCAGCCAAGGTTCTCACTTCCAAACAGAAAACACGAGCGCTGTGTTCGGCCACGTCGGGTTAGTGTTCCTGCCTCAGGTATGTAAGGCCGCCAGTCCAGAGAGAGATCCGTCTGCTTCGGAACCAATCGGGAGGCCTCGTTGCCTCGATCTACATCCCTACTTACCAGTGATACAGACAGTCCGACAATACAATTAAACTCATCCACGAACGAGGCAATGCGGGGAGTTTGCATACGTCATGTGGATATGAGACTCATTGGTCCCAGATTATAAGTACCGGGCTGGAGACTATTAATAGATGTGCATCCAGATTAACAACTGTCGTCTTGATCGGGACGAAACCAACATATTAGAGATCAACATGCGCCTACTATATTATGCTCTTTCCCTCGCTCCTCTCTGGACGCCCGGCGTACTGGCCCAATATTTGGGTCCAACCTACCCACCCCCACGAGACCTCACCAGTGATTCCAGCCGCGTCGCCACCAGCTGGAAGAAGCTAGACTCAGCCCTGAAAGCGAGTCTGAGTCGTCGCAATGCGAGTGAGAACAGTGAGATATCCCAACTGAGAGATCTAACCTTCTCTGTTGGCATGTTCTCGACCCTTGACCCGGCCGCGCAGCAGCTTCAGATTCACCATACTAGCGCCGAAGTCGCTAATTCCTCAGTGGGAATGAAGAAAGTAGATGGAGATAGCATCTATCGAATAGCTAGTGTCTCGAAGCTTATTACCGTCTTTGCGGGTCTGCTAGAGCTTGATAGTGCTGACTGGGAATGGCCACTCACCGACGTCTTCCCAGAGATGGCAGATTTTGTCCGCGAGAAATCCAGTAACCTTCAACCCGTGTATGACACTCAGTGGGATAAGATCACCCTCAACGCAATCGCGTCACAGATGGGAGGTATCCCTCGTGGGGGAAATTCGGAGTTACTAGCCAGCTACGTTACCGCCAGAGCGTTGAACAGCACTGATCCATCCGAAACGGATCCCACCTTTTTGGGTCTCCCCCCTCTGAACGAAAGCGACCCATCCCTCTGGCAAGCTTGCTGGGGGAGTAACCGACCTTTCTGTGCTGAGGTCCCCTACGCAGAAGCGGAGGCAGATAATTCTCCCGTCTTCCTCCCCTGGAGTAGCCCGCAGTACGCCAACAATGGATATATGTTTCTAGGCATGGCAATCGCGAACCTTACCGGGAAGCCCCTCGAGCAAGTCTACCAGGACAGCGTCTTCGAGCCTCTGGGGATGACCTCTTCTCTCAGTGACCCCCCGGCTGAGAACGACCCGAACCGTGCGCGCTCGGTTATTGCAGGACCTATCGAAGGATTTGCGATCGATGCCAGCGTTACCAAAGGCTCCGGTGGGTTGCTATCGACCACCAACGATCTCGCCAAGCTCGGCGTGGCCATCCTGAATTCCACTCTCCTTCCCGCGGACCAGACGCGCAAATGGATCAAGCCTGTCAGCCATAGCGCAGACCTGCGATACTCGGTGGGGAAACCCTGGGAGATCTACCGCTACGTCCACCCGGACTCAGGAATTGTTACGGATATTTATACGAAGATGGGCGACTCAGGCAACTACGGGGGCCTTCTGGCAGTCTTGCCGGACTTTGACGCGGGATTCAGCGTCCTCGACGCGAGTTCCCTTACTACCCGGTCCGCATCGGCTGCATACCTGATGGACTTGGTCATTAACGCCGTTGTCCCCGCCTTGATCGAACAAGCCGCTCTGGAAGCCCAGCGCAACTATATAGGAACGTACCGTTCCTCCAATGCCGGACTAAACTCGTCCTTGACTCTGGCATTGAGTCCGCCGACGCGCGCCTCACCCGGTCTGATAGTCTCCTCTTGGATCAGCAACGGCACAGACATCACACCATACCTGGCAGCAATCCTCGGTGGTAAAGACACGAGACTGGTGCCTACCATTCCCGCCTCTGGAAAGGTGGCATTCCGCCCTTACACCCCGACGGTGGAAAAGGCGGTTGGCTCGCCACAGAGACTCATATCGCGACTTTACGATGTCAACGATCTGTATCTGCTCGATGGGAGCACCTACGGTGGCCAGAGTCTGTCACTGCTTGTGTTTGACGTCGACGAAAATGGACGGGCTACAGCGGTAACTCCTCCAGCGTTCCGCACCAAGTTGGAAAGACAGTGAGGCGGCGCATATCACAAAGTCCAATTGTACATACATCGAAGCAAGAGCAGGATTTGTCGCGCGAAAAGATACCCGCGGCTTCCCATTACGGGACAACATGACGCAGTTAATATCTCTTCCTTTTTCACATATATAGAATGTCTCGGGTTTCTTTAATGCATTAATTACCACCCAGCAATATAATCTTCTTAGAGTATCTACTTTCACTATACAAACCCTAGCGACCATATGGGACATATAAAAAAGATATTGCACATGGTGAGTCCCTTTCCCTACTGCATCCAGCCTTTACCCGGCATATATAATCCCGCATAGCAAAGATAGTTCCCAGTCGACTCCATCACGACTTCTCCCCAATCTCACCGACCATCTCTACATCTTCCACGCCGTCCCTATAACAAAACAAACACGAACAAACATTAGCCCACACCCACTCAAACTCATATGAGTATATGAGTAGTTCGCTGTCTGCTTTCTGGTCGGCCATGGTTTTATATGTGGAGGACGGAAGTGAACACACGGCAGAAACAGTTAAATGACAGCTCTGGCTAGCAACTGAGGACACTATTCTACGTCTTAATAGCTATTTATACGTGCTGGCTGTATGTCTAACATTGGCTATAATACCGTTGCCATCAATGTAGTCCAACCCAGCCGTGTAGAATGAAGCGTAGCATAAGACTGGGATAGGTCAACCCCGGACCCCAGATCAGCCAGTCTAATCCGTTTAGACTTACTATGTACTAACTATGGCTGCTATGGTATTGAATATTGGACACTATGAAGTGTTCACTTTCATCCAGAGTTCTGATGAACAGCGAGGACAAGGCCTACGAGGGGAACAAGGTTTACTTCGCCTCAGGGTGAATTGATTAAAAGGCGAAAACAACACTACATGCGCTCGTGGCGCAGGTAAAGAAGGGGGGGAAAAATCGAGCAGGAGACAGCCTTATTGGCAGATGGCGCGACATAGCTCTCGGGCGTTTGTTGAATCAGAGCTGAACGGAGCCGCGGGTAATGGCAAAGCCCCAAAATACGAGGGGAAGGACGAGGTGGTCGAATGAAAATATTGAACTTGTATTAGTACAGATAGCCTCGCATTAGTGTCATGTAGGCGTATTGAAACACATCATATCACGACGAAACCCCATCTCCTACCCTCTGCTCTAACTCTCTTCTCGCCATCTAACTTACTACTGTCAACTTGTACCTGAAACATCAAGTGTCAATATGTTCCGGAAATTGGCTGATTGTCTTAGCTGTGGAAAGGATCACAGCGACCGTGGGGATGATAATAATGGGCCACCTTCCCAACCTGTCAATGCGAACGGAGGATTAATAAAGGAGAAGGAGGAGGAGGCCAGCAAGGCAGGACTTCCAGCTCGTGTTCAAAGAAAGAGGTCGTCACTCAGTGCCCCTTCTTCTCCTGACCCTGCATCGACTTCTCAGCTGTCGCTGCGAGAAGTAGAGAGCGAGCCGAAACCCCAGAATCTTTGGGTTCTTGCGCACAAGAGGCTGAGCCCAGAGGATCAGAAATGCTTTGAAGTCGGGGCCCAAAATACGATGGAAAAGACAATCGAGGAGGTGCTAGACAAGATAGAAGAGAGATGCAGGGAGTACAGTGAGGGTGGACTCCAGATTCGAGGACTGCATGGGAAGAGCATCAATGTCCAGGAATGTTTCCGAGGGATCATCAAATCCATATCTCAGGTGCAAGAACTTATTAAGAATGTGGCGTCGTTGGACCCAACGGGCCATGGTGCGCTGCCCTATGATCGCCATGGATCGAAATAGGCTGACCGATATCTAGCATCGCAGGCATGGACCATTGTGTCAGTGGGACTTACTGTAAGGAGCAATCTTTTCCTGCTTAGAACGAGTGAGCTAAAAGAACATAGTTGGTAAACAACGACATTGAACGCCGCGATGCTGTCATGGGAGCATCTGGCTTTCTCGCAAATACTCTCTCTTATTACGCCATTATTGAGAAAAATGACCGGAATCGCCAGGTCGACAGCGCTGAGCATATCGAAGAGGCACTGGTGAAGGTTTATACGGCTATTCTTGAATACACGGCTGAAGTTTATAGGGCGAGTCGGGAAAATGGAGCAGGTATGTCCCCGTGGCCAACAATCCTATCCTAGTCTAAGCATAAGATTCCAGATCGTGCGCGGAAAAGCGTTAGTGCCCTGGTCGATCAACCGTTAAAACGTCTTAAAGACGCCATCGAGCTGGAAAGGGAAAACGTCAAAGAATGGACGGAGCTTGGTAGGAATGAGGGTAAGATTTCATTTCTCACGACTAGGATACTTCTCTCACCAATTCTAGATCAGCAGAAATTAAATACACGGGTCTTGAGTACGCCTGTTATTTCTATTAACCACTGAACTGAGTACTAAAAAGCCCCACAGGCTCACTGGATCTGGAGATTTTGGATTGGCTGTCACCAACAGATCAGTCGGGCAGAGAACAGTCGGCAATTTACAGCAAGGCTCAATATGATCGAACTTCTCAAACAGGCGACTGGTTCCTTGACTCGCCAGAATACCAAAAATGGAAGGCTGAATCTGGGAGCATTATGTGGCTCCATGGAGTTGGTTGGTTTTCCATCCCAAGTACAAGGCATATTTCACTAACCATGTCAGTGGGATGTGGCAAAACAGTGCTTTGGTAAGTAGTAAACAGCAAGTAGGCCAGCAACGATCTCGAGTTGATAAGCCTCAGTTCAACCATTGTAGCAGACGTTCTCCAGGCTTGTGAATGCGATCCGACAAAGAGACTAGCCTACTGGTACTTTACTTTCGATCAAAATAAACAGCAAGTCGTCGATATCATGTTAAGATCCGTCATGCGGCAACTTTGTCCCCACCCGGTTCCGGAGTCGATCGTGAAGCTGTGGAAAGAACATCGCCAAGGTCGAGAACCAACACGGACAGATCTTTATAGTACTTTGGAGCAGATGGTTGAAAGTTGTACAGGGCGCGTTATTCTCATCTTGGATGCTTTAGATGAGTGCCCGGAAATACCGGGGAACCCTGCACGAGGTACATTGTTGCAGTTCCTGAATAGCCTTATTGTTCGACATAAGCAAACACTTCATATTCTTGCAACAAGTCGACCAGAGCCTGATATCCGTAGTCATCTGTCAGAGCACACAGCCATCGATATCGAAAAAGCCCTAAGCCAAGATGTTGAGAGGTTTGTCAACGACAGACTTGAGACCGGGAAACTGGCGGAGTGGCTCAACAAGAACCAGCCCATGAAAGACACAATTCGAAAGAAACTACTGGGCATAGAAAGGCCGTATGTTCTTGAATTGACTACTGAAGAATTATTTTGGGATGTTAACAGATCTTTACAGCCGTTTCCGATGGGCTGACTTGCAAATCAAGTCGCTAGAGAGGTGTAACAGGCCAACTGATATCGATAAGACGTTAGAAACGCTGCCGAAAGACCTGTCGGGAACCTACAGGAAAATTTTGAACGACATCTCAGAGGATGATCGAGACGCTGCACGCACCATTCTCATTTGGCTGGCCTTCTCCCGGGGCCAACTGACACTGGAATTTCTGGCAACGCTTGTCAACTTCATTCGGCCACAAGGTGTGATCGATGTATGTACGACAGACCTAATTACAGTATCCGATAATTTTGTTAGACTGGCGCACTTCTCGGTGAAGGAATTCCTGGTCCCTTCGGATATCTCGAGTGAAACAGACTGGTACCAGTTTTCAGCCTCTACGGGGCATTTCACCATTGCCAATGAGTCCCTTTCTCGTCTTCTACAAACAGACCACAACTTGACTAGGGATGCGGCATTTGACCAGCCAGTTTTGGTCTACGCGGCAAAAAAACTTGATTTCCATCTGTCCGAGCTAGAGCAAATAGGACTTTGGCCTCCAGAACTACAGGAAAGTATTGCGCATCTATTCGACTCTTCCGTCGCCTATCTCAACTGGGTGCGAATTGCCAATGACGACAGGGATTTTTCTAACGACTGGTACCTGTCAGCTGACAATGTAGAACCTCCGATATTCAGAGCCTCAAAACTGGGGCTGATCCAGGTTGTAGAAAGTCTACTGAAAAATGGTGCTGATCCTCTGGCACCCTTCTACAGGACCTTGTCAAATAAGAAGAATGGATTAGAAGCTGCTGCGCGATGGGGGCATCTTGATGTCTTGGAACTGCTTGTGCAAACGTCCACTGTCATCCCCAAAAACCTGGCTTGTTCTATTATAAGATCCATCCGCTGTGGTCAGGAGCGGGAGAAGGTGTGCAAAATACTTGCCTTACTTCATGAAAAAGCATCATTTTACTACGACCCAGAACATAGCAATACAATCGACAAACACATCATTGCAGCGGCGGCGGACAATTGGTGGTCGGGAGATGTTCTCATACAAATACTTCTTGATTGGCCTACTAGAGGAGCTGTGTATATCACGAGGGGTGTTATGCGTGCTGTGCTTCATAATACGAAGTATGGTGAGAGAATTATGCAGCTGCTTTTGAGAGAACAGGGAACACATGTTTATATGACCCGCAATGGGATTAATTACATGATTGAAGAAGGAGGCTTCAATCCTGATGTGGTCAAGATTGTAGCTGAAATGCGCGGGCACGAGATTCAGTTCAATGATCGGACTGTGACATGCATCGTGCGGTATCCAAGCACCGAGGTATTAGAATTACTCTTGTCAAATCGGGATGACGTTTCCATCACAACAGAGATGTTGGAAGCAGCAGCCAGAAACTGGGACGGATTAGGCGCGTTACGCCTTCTCTTGAAGAAAAGAGCACCCACCATCAATATTACCATGGAGATGCTGGTTGCTGCAGCAGGGAATTTCAGTGATGGCTTCGAAATGATGAAATTACTACTTGAGGAATGGAGTCCGGATACCCCTGTCGGCGAGGAAGTTATTTATAAGCTCGCATCAAACAGGTACCACGGGCTAGAGATAATGAACCTCCTTCTACAAAACCAACAGACAGGAATTACCATCTCTCAGGAGGCTTTGGCTCGGGCTGCGAGATGGACTGACAAGGAGATGTTAGAAGTTCTTGTGAACAATACGGAGTCGGGCGTTAAAATCACGCCCGAGATACTTTGCGCGGCAGCAAAGAACTGGAAGTCCGCGGAAGCTGTTATGACGTATTTGCTTGACCTTGGAGGGAAGGATCTTGAGATTCCAGAGAATATGCTAGTATCAGCTGCTGAAAATAGATTCAAGGGGGCTAATATATTATGCTTGGTCCTCGACAGGTTCCCGGAAGTAAAGGTGACGGACCGAGTTTTCGAAGCGGCGTGTGGGAGTCAGGATAGCATGTCGGTATTGCTGAAGCGATTTCCCAATCAGTTTCCCAAGGAAATAGTGATTGAAAAAATAGCAACGGACACAATATCCGGATACCATGCTCTGGAGTTGCTTATTCACCAGGGGGTTATAGATATCGACCAGAATCTGGTCGAGAAGCTTGCGGGAAATTCTGATGCTCTCAGAACTCTTATAAAGTTCAAGCCAGACTTTCCAGTGTCGCATCAAACTTTACTTGTGGCGGCAGAGAGTACCATTTGCATGGACATCGTGCTTTTTGCTTGCAAGATGGAGTTTACTATAACAACAGACATAGTTGACGCAGCAGTAGAGTCGACAGGAATCGACGAAACACGGGAGCTGTGCGACTTCGCCGTCATACGCTTACTTTTCGGCCAATACGGGTCGAGATTTCCGATAACAGAAATGGTGTTAACACGGGCAGCTCTACATAAAAATCCATATGGTGCACTTGATTACCTCCTGGGAAAGGAACCCGGGGTGGACCTTCAGCGAGTGTGGGAAACCGTCTGGCAAAGTGATTGCTCGGAAGTAGACAAGCTTGGCGCGTCTGAAGTCCTTCTAAAGCGCGCCGGTCTTGAAGTCACGGAAAGTATGATGGAGAATACAGCCTCCAGGAGCGTTGATTACAAAGATGACTTTGATGATCTGGTTCAATTCTCGATCAGGGAAAAGATACCAATGCCTGGAAGCGAGAGGGCAATGTGGATTGTTATACAAAGATTTCATGACTGGCGGACTGTGGAGAGCTTCCTGGAGTATAAACCAGACATCAGAATTACTCTGGAGCAATTCTATGCCTTGGCGGGGTTTGAATCTGTTCCTGAGGGTTTGATACAAACGCTTCTTGCTCGCAAGGATTTCTAGTAGCCGCCACGGGTCGATTACGATTTCAAATCAATCATAATCTTGACCAAACAATGCCTTTGTATCATAGATTCATATCGTGAAAATCTTAAGTGAGTAAACTCATCACATCCTGACTATTCGCATTTTCGCATGTGCGCCAGATAGTAGGGTAACTTCCATAAGTTCGAATACATCTCCGCTCTGGAAGATGACCCCACACTAATAGTCATTACCAATCGCCAGGGTAGATACTCTGTCAACTAGTTGAAGATATGTTGATGGAGAAGAAAGAAACCGTCTATCATGGACTAAATAGTAGAACGAATTCTAATGAGCCGACTCTTGCAGTTTTCCTCCTTGTCTAGTCCCTGTTATTGTATAGCTTGGGGTCCTCCTGATTCAGTGAGAATGTATCGGACCATTTGACAGCAGATGGGCTGCTCTAGGTGATCAGGCAGGATGATTTGCCGGAGAAGGGGTAATTCGTGCACGGTGGCAGAGAGTACTGTGTCTTAGGAAACGGGGCTGGTAGGGTTTCTAGAAGTTTATGAAACATACTAAATGAGGGATGTTATAATGAAGCTAGTTGAAGGGAACCGGTTGAATTGTGTCGAATGAGTACATATATCATGTCTTCAAGAGTGATTATAGGGGATATACTATGCTGCCCTATAAGGCCTGTTGATCCTGTATTTGAAGCCGGACTTTCGGAGATTGGCAATTCCCGGATGAAAACAACGGGTGGGTCAGTCAAGAAACGACGTTCAATCGTGTTGCTGAGTGGATGCTTGAGAGCCAACAACCTCGTACTCAATCAACACCAGGCCAAAAAGGAAACAAATAATGTGGCAGAATGGAGGTAATCGAACGCACGGTGAGGGACCACCTGTTAAGTAAAAAAATACTTAAACAGCTCTCCGTTCCTCTTTCTCGAGCACCACTCCCACTTTCCGATATCCATTGCGCAATAGATCATAATGCATCAATTCAAAGTATACACCCGCTGGCGGCCCAGTGAGTCAACAGCGCCAGAGACTCGTCGCACGCATAATAAACAAGACAGTGGTCGCATATCTATCTCACTCACTCCGTCTTCACCTTCTGCTACGGAACGTCCGTGGAAAAGCGAGGCTGCCTTTACCCAAGTATTCGAAGCAACCGATAATAACAAATCGGTCTTCGAAGCCGCAGTCGCACCAACTCTGCCCCATGTGCTGAGCGGCCGATCATGTAATTTCTTTGCTTACGGACATTCCGGAAGTGGGAAGTCACATACGATCATCGGGTACGACTTTAAGAACCCCGATGAATTTGGACTCTGTTTAGCCGCTGCCAGACATCTCAGCGAGGCATTGACAGACCTCAATCAGGACATTGATACCCCTGGTGAGGAACTAGCTCTTGGCATTCGAATGTTCGAGCTACGCAAGAATATAGCTTTCGATTTGCTCAATGGACGATGCCAATGTTTCGTTCGCGAGGGGCATGATGGAAAAACGCACATTAGGGGCGAGACGGAGATCCTGGAGGAGGGCAAAGTTCGGGTCCGTCCGATTGTCACGAAAGCATGCTGGAGTTTCGAGGACCTGCGCCAGGAGCTGCTGGCAGGACTCAAGCTCAGAGCGACGGGAACATCCACGGTCCATGACCAGAGTTCGCGCACGCACGCCGTTTTGGAACTAGAGATTGTGACGAGGGCACTCCTTGAGGCTCGCGATGCGGTTGTCCAGCGGCAATCAGAATTAGTGCCGGTAGGAAAGCGTGCGACAGATATTTACATCGAAGAGACCATGAAGGGGGTTATTCAGAATGCAGACGGCAAATATGTCCCCAACCCGGACCATCAGACCGACCAGGCCCGGATCGACGCCGCCGAAGCAAAGAAAGCCGAGTTCGAATCATATGTGCAGCAGGCAGAGAACAAAGTTAATGATATTTTGCAATCATCCGGTCAGTCATGTCTCGGGGGGAAACTGATTTTTGTCGATCTGGCTGGTTCCGAGTATTATCATGACAAGACGACCTCGACCGTGGCGCGACCAAAGCAGACCCCCCAGGAGCAACAAGAAGGACGGCAGATTAACACAGACCTGCTGGCATTGAAAGAGGTTATCCGGGCGCGAGCTTCCAAGCAGACACGCATCCCGTTCCGGTCATCGCCCCTGACTATGGTGTTGCGGGGCCACTTCCTGGGCACGAATACGACTGATAGTTGTTCCGCAATGATCCTCACGGTGTCGCCATCATCAGAGCAATTTGCTGCCACTCTGAACACGCTGAAGTACGGGAACCTCGTTGGGGTAGCTGGCGGGGAGAAGAAGAGGGTGGTGCGGCAAACGATAAAACAATAATGAGCCAGGATTTGCATCAGGAGCACCGGAAACACGCCGAAGTGTGCACTAATAGAACCATTTAATTCAAGATAATCCTTTCCTCGTAATATCGCCGCTAGAGCAGGTCCTCTTCCACCAGAATCACATCGACTTTCATCCCCCATCCGTCCCTACCCCCAATCCAGTGCTTTCTTTTCCCAACCTTCCGCAGTTTCTTCAGGTCTGCTTCTAACTCTTGCTTCAACCTGGTGGGATCAAACCCTACCCGCTGCAGTGAGACTTTCAGCTCAATCCCTTCCTTGTTCTTCTTCTTCCCCAGATCGTTTGCCCAGCGGGCTCTTGGTAGTGCGCGCGGTCTGGACGGGTCAATGACGCCTGTGGGATACACACGGCTGATGATGAGACCCAGCTTCCCTAGATACCGTGTCCACCAGATTTCCTCTGGTGTCAGAAGCGAGCGTAGGCTTTTCTTAAAGTCCATCTCGCGAGGCGGCAATTCGCCACCGTACCTCTCCTGCAGCATCAACGCCAGGCGAGCGCGATCGGCATGAGGTATACCATGCGCTTCTGCCAGGACCCCGGTGCTGGTGCTGTATAGGGCAGCGGTGGCCGCTGTCTCTTTAGACATCGTAGCATGCGCGTAAAGGATGTTGGCAAAAGCCTGAATGACATGCGGACTGATCGAATGGGGGAAGGACCTCTCCTTTGATGGACGAGGAATGGACGAGAAGGCCAGAAAAGCCATCGCCTGGGCAGAGCCGCGAGCGAAACTCGTGGTCGCAACTTGCAATGGGTCCTGCTGGCGGATCACAGGTAGGACATTGCGATACAGAGCACCTTCCCGAACACCTCCCTGGCAGAAGTGAGCCTCTTTAATCCCATGGGGGATTGCCTTCGCAAGCACATTCACGAGGAATGCGACCGATGGGACTTGCTTTCGGCGTCGATCAGACACACGGAAGATATCGTTGGCAGTCTCAGCAACCTTCTTCAGCGCCTCTGTGTTCTCGAAGTCTTTCTTACCAGCCGAATATCCATTGATGATTGAAATCGGGTAATACTCGCCTCGCACCTGATGGAGATAGAGAAGAAGATATCCCCACCCCCGGAATCCTCCCCCAGAGAGGTACAGTTCAAAGCCTCCGTCTCTCTTCGCCTTATCGACGAGATGCTCAGGGATCTCTAAATCCTCCCACGCGCGACGAAACTGAGTAGTCATCTCCTCGCGAAACTGCGCCTTGGCCTTACGTGCCTCGTCCTCGTCTTTACCTTTCGTCAGCGCTTCCAATTTCTGCGTGAGAGCTGCCGCGCCATACGGAAAACTAATCGATCCCTTGGGGCTGATATTTACGTGCCCACCATGCGAAACAATCCAAGTCATCTGCATACTTCCTCCCCCGAGGTCAATGGCCAATCCCTCGATATCGGAATATCCGCTCGCAATCCCCCACGCGCCCACGACGCCCTCCTCATCCTTTGGCATCATTCGCACGCTGACGTGGGTCCTGTCCTGGATGGCCTTCACAAACTCCTCCGAGTTAATCGCCTTCCGCGTAGCCTCCGTCGCAATCACTCGTATCTGACTCGCCGGTACACCCACCTCCAGACAGACGATCTGGAAGCGAAGTATAGCTGCAACGACCGCATTGATCACCTTCTTCGGGATCGGAATCTGTTTTCCGGTCTCGGAGTCATACTGCGCATCGTAGAGTGAGATGTTGAACCGTTGCGAATAAACAGTGGGCAGGATGCGGGTGGTTGGCGGGGACAGGTCCGTAATCGAGCATCGGATTCCATTACTACCGGGTGCAAATTAGATAGGTTAGCGATCTGCAGAGTGGCATGTTTCTTGCCTGCCCATGTCTACGATCCCGTGAAGATATCGCTTTTCTCCTGGTTCTTGCCATCGCGAGTCTTTGTTGTCGGTTGGTTGAGGCTGGTAACTAGGGAATTGAAGACCGCCACCCATTTTGGCGGTTACAAATTTAGATAGTCAGACAGATGCGTCTAGATGGTCATCTAAGAGTAAAGTCAGAGGCATTGTAGAAAATATGGAAGATACATTGCGGTTAAGCTCGGCGTTGCATTCCAGACAGCGGATGATGTCATGACTTGACTTCAAGACCTGAAGATGCAGAGTTACTTGCACGTATACATGGTTGACAGTAAACTCAAGTACAGAACAAGGCACTAATCCTTTCCATGGTATTCATGTCTATAGTCCCATTTCTTGCTCGCGATTGACCCACTGCTGGACGCTAGTTCCCATATCAAAAGCTCGGATAACCCGGCCCTTCTATCCTTTGCCCTATGCAGCGCATATCAATGGTGTGCATCCTTACCCTGTCCATAGCCTACAGATTAAGCGTCTGTTGGTACTTCAGACGTGGGACGTTTACGTTTGAACTTTTTCGCAAGTGTCACGATACCCTCCCGCCGGGAATACACCACCGTGGTCATAGTGAGGAATATACCAGCGATCTGATCTAGATCCAGAAGACTGGCATCCGTCTTGGGCCAGATCTTATGGGAAATCGAGAGCAACACGATATGAAAAACAAGCTGTACGATGCAGAAGGCCGCCACGCGCTCTCCCCGAGGCCGATATACAATCTGCCGATACGGATATTTGTCGGATAGTGCCTCCCCGTGAATTCCAGAGTACAACAACGTCACAAATAGTAGTATATAAACGGATAACAAGACCCGATGCTCAAGGTATGGTTCGGAAATGATGGTGTAGATCACAGTATGACAGAGGAAGCGGATCGTTTTCCATGTCCACTCTTTCACTGTGTTGGGGAAACGGGGCTGATCCATCGCCAGCTCCACGCCGTCTTCCTGCCACGACAATCGAGTCAGGGGTCCGATAATGGTCAATGTCGATACAAGCACAAAAACGGCGGCGGTCATGCCGGGGTCGATCTGACATCGTATCAGACGAAGTAAAACATCGCACAGGGCGACTAGCGGATAGCCAATAGCGAGGATGACTTCTCCGTCGAGCTTATTCACCTCCGGATGTCGCTCGGAACATTTCGAGTGCCATATGGTGGACAGAGCCGTGGCATAAGCGGTGATCAACCAGGCCAGATAGGCGCCAGGACCGTACCACCCCGAGGCACTGGACGTCGAGTCGGAGATTGCATCTCGTTTTTCGGTCCACGTTTTGCAGCGACCATCGGAATCCTGTTGAGACATTGTATTCATAACCGTGTCACCGATATAAACTGGTTGCTCGGTCAAGCTGCTGCCTAGGAGCACGAACCACATGCGTGGACCCCATAGCGTGGGTGTGAGAACGAGCAGGAGAGATACAATCCATCGCAGCGTGTTGATGTAAAATACAAAGTATCTTTCCCCTTTATCTTAGCTATCATGCAGGATAGTGGTTTATGAATATAGCATACAATTGCATTCCCCACATCCACAGCATCACCCACCAGTTATACACAACTTTCGCAGGCTTGCTTCCGTCAGCCATACTGGGGTCTGTTGCCAGGAGGTTTTCCGCGTAGGAAAATTTGGATGTTTGTCTCGTCAAAGTTCTATGATTCAAGGGGTCTATCAAGTGCAACCGGAAAGACACTGGGAACGATTCTATTAATCTTAACACACCGCATGGTATTTAAACAGCCGAGGGCCGGGAAGCGATATCCAACATCTTTGTGTTTCTCTTGGCTCCGTGTGCTGTAAGCCGCCACAGCCTGTGCGATGGTCATCTCCGCTGCGAGACTCGCCAAAAATTACCGAATCTATTTGGCGAGACTATCGATCCTCCAATACGAAGACGGTCATGGAAGACTGTGGGACATAGGTTTGAAAACTAGTAGACGTGTTAACATCAGAAACAACCCAGGGCAAATTAGGCAAGTTATTATCAGCATACTAGGATTTTGCCCAGGATGATCAAGCACACATATCTCAATCAGGTAACGCATGTTCCTCATGATAGCCTCTTGCTCCAACCAGGATGCTTGGATAGGCTCTGACCTCTCTAGGTTTTGATCGGAGGTTAATCAGGAGTTGTACCACGCAAATCTAGCAGCTATTTCCATGCCCTTATTTCCCCAGGCTGACTATCCCGTCGAACCCACAAATTAAAGCTTCTGAAAGCTTGGCCTCAGTGTTTAAGCTTGGCCCACTCCTTCCACGGTCTTTCTCGTGTACGGCAATGTTTTTGGTGGCTTTTAAATAAAACCTGTTCATTTGCCAAAGCCGTAGAACGACTAAACAGAGGCAACAATCAACCTCACGAAAAAACTACCGGCATGTGTTAATTCAGGCTATTGAACGCCGAGAACCCTGTGCAAAACATAACATAAAATCACCACAGCAAAGGAACGGGGCTGTAGTAACACCGCTTAGGTAGTTAGGAGACGCTTCACAAAGACAGATCAACTTGCCATCAGGATTCCCTTCTCACTGTGACGGTACAATTTGAAGGAGGCGTAGAAACTAACAAGAGTCCTGATCACCACGTCGGTGATTCAAGATCGCCAGGTAGGAACAACTTGAAATAGTGTTCAGAAGCGGACCTCTCGGGAGGCTCAACCACAAGATGGGAATGGCTTAGAGTCTCTACCAGCTGGCGTCGAAAGTTAAAGCGTCGTTCCTGACATCATTGACTTTGGGTAACGACAATGAGTGGTGAAGGGACCTCCCATCCGTGGATCGACCAGGGATTCCCTGCTGTCTTTGCGAATGGACCAAGGACGGTGGAGAGAATTGCACGGTCGTGCTCATATAAGTCTTAGACCCGCGTAGCGGTTATCGCAGCTTCTCTGCCTCTGGAAGGCTCATTAAATCTTCGAGAAAATGGCAAATCAGTCGACTCTCCAACTCAGGGAGGTTGGTCCAGACGACATCCCCAAGATCACCGATGTTTGGTTTCGCGCATTCGGTACGCCACACAACCTGGCATTGATTCCCGATACCCCCGGCGTGCGCACGTGGTGGAATGAAGCCCATTACCATGACCTTATGAACAGACCATATCAAAAGTATATCAAGATAGTAGATGCCGCGCACCCCAGTGATATCATGGCATACGCAAAATGGGACCTGCAGCCGGATGAATGTGGCGAGCGATTTCCGCCATGGCATCCAGAGTCAAATGCCGAGCTCTGCACCCAATATTTCGGAGGAAACGAGAATCAGCGTAGGAACTTGATGCAGGGACGAAAGCATTACTGTAGTTAAGCCCCCTTTGACTGGCGTACGTTCGTTCTAACCATGTTTTATAGACTTAGACATGCTGTGCACAGATCCTCAACATCAACGAAGAGGTGCCGCTTCCCTGTTAGTGCAGTGGGGATGTGATCTCGCTGACCGCAACGGGGCCGCAATTTACATAGCCTCCAGCGATCAAGGAATTGGACTGTATCGAAAATTTGGATTTAAGCTGCTGGAAGGCCGTGACGACACTCCTGAAGGAGCCAACCCCATGGTCAGAGAGCCGAGGTTGGTAAACTGAAAGAATAAAGCCCCTTCTTCCTCACTCATCTGGTTATGTATATTGGTGTTGGAGGATTACTTTTCGTGTACTCATTCCCCTATATCGTACGCTGCCTATAGCCACGCGGTCTATGCGGCCATCAGCAATGTTGCGACGACATCGTGGCAGATCTATATCTTCACCCGGGACCAAGGCCTCCCATTTCCGGGACTTTTGTGTCAGGTTTGTATTCTTACTTTCGATTTTCTCATAAATGAACAAGGGACTATAAGAGAGGTGAACGAGACCATTTTGTCTTGTTCACATTCTGATCTATAATAACAAAGCCCTAGCTTCACCACCCCACTCAACGTTTATATCTTAGCCTTGTTATCATGTCGCTCCTCTCACTAATTATCATCCGTTCAGCCGTAGCCTTCAATGCCATCATTTCAATTCGTTTTAGTCGTCATTTTCGTGCTTACTTCTTTGCCAGTCACGCAGCATGTCACTGCGCAATCAACGAACTGCAACATGATCATATTCAGTGGCGTGACTCTCTTTACCATGGCGTCCTACCACGCTTAGATGCGGAAGATGTATAAAAGGCGGGTTTTGCGGGTAATTGAAGGGGGTTTCATGGTTGACCGAATGTCTATGATCACATCATTATTTTGAGATATATTTTTCTTATTCTTGTATATTTAAAGTTGCCCGTTGCGGATCAATGCCGCCAGAGAGATATATACTATTTCCCCACATTTCGTAAGTTAACAAAAGAACTAAACAGCTTGACTGAACAAGGAAATGTATCCGAAAGAAAAGGAACTCCGTGAGGTTGTTGACTCTGGAGGGATGTATGCAAGGGTGCAATAGATGCAAACTCGCTTCAACCAATGACAGACCTGGACGAGGCGGTGTGCTGCTCTAGACTAAAAGCGGTCTAGCGGGATGGAGTCCCAAAGGCTGTTTTTGTTGTTTGTTTCGGATCGCCCGTCATGTGACCGCGGTGATTCCGTCGAGACTGCAGAGTGACGTCGTCTTCTGACGTCCCTTTTGTTCTATATTCTTCTTGGTCGACCCGAAAAGAAAGGTTTTCTCCCTCTATTCGCATTCAGCAGAATGTGACTAGTCTCCCCCGCGTCGGTTCCTGGAAATTCCTCGATCCGCCGCTCATTCTACAAACCGTGTAACCACCCAGCTTCATCATGTCCGACCAGAACCTTACCTCCACGCCGCGAGACCAGGACGCCGAGGGCCGCGACGCTATCCTGGCCCAGCATCTCAACCCCCAGTTCACAGCCTCACTGCAGGAGGAGAGCTTTGCTCCGTCAGAAACGGCTAGCGGAGATGCGGAGGACACCCCGGAGCCGCAGTCCTCTCTCCTACTACAAGGCGGCGACGTACACCGTGACCTTTACCGGATCGAAGCCAAGTCGAAGCTGGCGAAGATAGATAAACGGGCCGCAAGCTTTTCCTTTCCCCCAAGGCAACCCGAAGATGCAATAGAAGAGGGCGTTGCTGCTATGGAGCCGGGCAGCTTCCGTCGCCATTTCGTGCAACACCACAAGAACAGCAACTTTGATTATCCGGGTGTGACGACGTCCTTTCTCGATTTCCTGGATCTATATGGTAATTTTGCTGGTGAGGATTTAGCAGAGACGGAGGAAGACTCCGTGGTTAGCGAAGACCGGGAGAGTAGGACATTGCCATGGGAGCGAACCCCCTTGATACAGAGGACCCGGCGGCGTTCACGAGTCGGCCGTCCAGGCGACGCGTCTAATATGAAGACCTTTTTCACGCTGCTGAAGGCCTTTGTTGGCACCGGGATTATTTTCCTGCCCAAAGCGTTCCGCAACGGAGGGATTTTATTTTCCTCGATTACCCTAGTGACGGTTGCGCTGATCACCACCGTATGCTTTCACCTTCTCCTCCAGTGTCGCCGACAATATGGTGGGGGTTATGGCGAAATTGGGGAGCGGATTGCAGGATCCCGTCTCCGGACCTTGATCCTCTCATCCATCACCATCTCTCAGATGGGCTTCGTCTGCACGTGCTTCATCTTCACCGCCGAGAATATGCAGGCCTTCCTGAAGGCTATGGCGACCGATATATCGACGGGCGGTTTGATCTTACTCCAATTGCTGGTGCTCATTCCTCTGGCATGGATTCGAAATATCTCTAAGCTGGGCCCGGCAGCGCTGCTTTCCGATGTGTTCATTCTCCTGGGACTTGGATACATCTACTGGTATGACATTGCGACTCTCGTAAAGCGACCGGGAGCAGACCCCACCGTCGAGCTATTCAACCCGCAGTCATTCACTCTGACCATTGGTTCGTCGATATTCACCTTCGAAGGAATCGGTCTCGTGTTGCCGATCCAATCGTCCATGAGAATGCCGCAGCATTTTGACCGCCTCCTATACATCGTCATGGCGATCATCACCATACTCTTCACAGCAGTCGGTGCATTGTCGTATGCTACGTTCGGTAACCGAACTCAGACAGAGATCTTCAGCAATTTCCCCCAGACAGACCGACTCGTCAACACGATCCAATTTCTGTATTCCCTGGCCATCCTCGTTGGGGCTCCAATCCAGCTGTTTCCAGCTACCCGAATCATGGAGGGCAAACTCTTCGGGCACAAGTCTGGGAAAGGCGACACGTCGATCAAATGGAAGAAGAATATCTTCCGAATGTTCCTTGTGCTCTGCTGCGGATTTATATCCTCCGTTGGTGCGGGTGACTTGGACAAGTTTGTATCCATCATCGGGTCGTTTGCGTGTGTTCCGCTGGTATATATCTATCCAGCGTACCTGCATTGGAAAGGCGTGGCGGAATCTCCGTGGGAGAAACGGGGAGACATTGCTATGATGTCGCTTGGTTTCGTCTTCATGGTTTACACAACCCTCGCCACACTGGCTGTTTGGATCCAAGGCAGTCCGTGATCCATTTCTCACCAGGGGTCTGGAAGGTGGGCTTGTTGCCTATCATTGCTTGAGCGACGTCAATGTAGAGTGGAGGCTGACTTTGCGCAAGACGCGCTCTACTGTTTCCTGTTATCGGATACAGGGAGACTTCCAAAGCTAATACCAAACGAGGAAAAAAAGGGGAAAAACCGAAAGTAGCGAGATACTATGTTGTTCGACGACGAGGATCTATAAACAGATACAAAATCAAGAATGCCTCAACTTGCTGTGTTCTCCTGATGTAATTGTAGGCAAACTCATATTCCAGAGCTACATGGATACATATTTTCCATCATCGAGGGTCATAAGCTTCTTCGAAATCTCTGAATTCTAATTTAACCTACTGGTACCCAAGATAACCACGCTAATGTTAACCGCCATGCCCCGTTCGCCTATAATTACCCCTGTATCCTCGGCCATACCGATCATCATAGCCATGACGACGCTCCTGAAATCCATGTAAACCATCTCCAACTTCCTGCGTATCTGTTGCAGAGGAAACGTGCACCAGAGCACCCCGCACGGGAAGATTCTTACTACTCACACCGGGAAAGGCATCCGTCACCCAAGTGAGATTGACGCCCTTCCGAAACAGCAGACAGTGTGTTGATCCGCCATGATGGAACATGCCGATCTCTTGGCCCTTGGACACGGTATCACCCTGCGTAACGGTAACATCGCAGGTTGAGACATCCGCCATACCCACTGTGACGACGCAGGTGAGCCCGACCGGCTCCGGGGCCTTAATGAAGATGAGGGCTCGCGTCGCGACATGCGTAATATAGCCCTGGGCCCTGTCTGGGGCAGCGGGGTCTGGGCCATCGGGATTCATGAATCCGGTGATGGTTGGCTCGGAGAACATGGTCCCGTGGATCAGCTTCACTTTCTTGATGGTGCCGTTGACGGGAGAATGCCAACGGTGGTACGACGTGGCGCTCAAGAAGGCTTGATAGGTGGTTCCGTCGACGAAGTGCTCGGCCTCCTCTTCCTTGTCTAGCATCTCGTACACGGAGTAGGGCTGACCCTTCAACCAGAAGGTATCGTAGGCTTTCACGTGGGTTTGGAGTGCGAAGGGCTTCGATTCACAGGCGCTGACTACCCAGGAGTCATGGTCGGGGGCATAGACAGGCCGAAGCTTGTCGTAATCGGCGAATTTGCGGGTGAAGAAGTCGTCCCAGGATTTGAAGCCCCAGTGCTTGCCGTCCGCCCTGCTGTGTCCGAATAATTCCCCGAAGCTGTACCGGTGGTTTGGATCGAGGTTGGTCTCATCTTCGATGACTTTGCGGGCTTCCTCCGACAGCCACCCGTTTGGTTCCTCGGTTAGGACATTTGTGGAAGCCGATGTGGAAAGGAAATAATCTCTCCAGTAATCTAGAATCCTCTTCATATGGAAGTTGACTTCCTTGCGCAGGAAGAACGCGTATCCGCTTGGAGTAGCCATGGGCCAGTCCAGCACTGCGTTGAAAGGAGTACCAATAAGGCCAACGTGGTACTCATCGATGTTCCACTGCGGTGCCACCTTCTGCATCGTGTAGTTGAATAGATGGGGAAGGTGGTCAAAGTCCCGAATCTGTTTGGTGCCAGTTGGGTCGTTGATGTATGGGGGCTTGTCGGGCACTTCGGTGAGCATTGCGGACGCAAACATGCGGAGATCTGGGCAACCGTCGACGGTTGCTTGGAACTTTTGGATGATGGGGTGGAGAGGGAGCATTGCTTTGTCCTCTTCGAGAGAGACCTTTCGAACGAAGCTGATGACCGTGTCGGGGTTTTCTGTCAACCATCCTCCAGTTCGGTGGGTGCGGCCATGGTGATAGGGCCACGGAAGGTGAACGGGGATTCCGCTGGTCATCTTGATGTTGAAGGTATATTCGATGAGCTTGAGTAAAGGCAAGGTGATAAGTGATCGCTTTGTTGCCCGGTCATGCTACCATCTTCTTGGCCACTATGTGATACACATCACGATCGTTCATGCTTTAATTAATTATCAATGGGAACATAGTCATGAAAAACACGCCAAGTGTCGCTCGTTTGATCATACTCGTTCCGTGAGAACCGCAAAAAGGTCTGGTTGCGCCTTTGGTTCCACTTTGCGACGTCTTCCTCCTTCGTTCCTGGCGGAAATCCGTCTTGTGACCGAAAGATACCAATGGGTCCGAGACGCGCTTCTTCCGGAACAAACACTGCGAGTTCAGAGTCTTGAGAAACAGGGAGAGAACTAGAATCGGCCTTAGCAACGTCGCTATTATGGTCTAGATTATAGGCCTTATTTTCAACAGCTGAATTGGTTGATTCCTGTCTTAGAGACTCGGCTTTACCCTGATTTGCTCTAGCTGCCAACGCTTCTTCTAGCATCATGACACTTTCACCCAGGGCTGCTGCTCCGGCGGAGTTGTAGAAACCCTGAGCTTGAGGTCCTCGACGAAACAGAGCTAGTGCCATGCGTCGGATCTTGGGTTCCCGGCATCTAAGGCAGGTGAACCAAAGCGGAAAACCGGCGTTCATTTCAAACGTAAACGGCGGTTGTGTGCCGTCCGATCGTGCTAATGCATTGATAGCAATGCTAGACTGTTCAACTATATTTTGGAAGTTTGCCGTGTAAGCGTCATATACCATGTGTGATGAGGATATGCAGGTTGCAAGTATAACAAACGACATCTCATAGTAGGTTAATAGAAGGGCGCCTGTGCCAATCTGCTGCTGTGATAGAACACCTTTCGCGTGTAGACCTTCAATGAGGACGGTAAAGGCAGTATGCCAGTCCTTTAATCTACCTGACAGGACCATCTGTCGGCCCATCAATTCTGGGTGCAAATGGGAGGAGTGAGACTCGTGTCGATACTCAATGCAAGTGCGCTCAAAGAGCTGGATCTCAGTGCTTAGGAGAGCGATGGCCTCCCGAGCGGACTTGAGGGAGACAAATTCTTGCACCAGTACAGGATCATCGTCTAGCAGTAGACCACTCACAGGAAGATGAGCAATAGTGAGGGCAACTACTCCTAGACGGACGAATATCGGGACGATGGCATCCTCTAACAAGGAAGCTTTGGTTGCTGACACAACTCCACACGCTATTTGAGCGCGCAGTGTGCGAATGAGATGCACACCTTGACCATACAGCTGCAAGGCCTCCTGCTCATTTCCCTGGATGGCTTCAATGCTGATAAAGAGAATACAAGTTATTAGTCCGGCAAAAATATCTATGTCACCCCGCTGAATTCGCTGACGGACAGCAGACACCGATCGTGAATACCAGCTTAACGCATCTCGGTGCTTCGGACTGGGAGAACGAGGGTCCTGCCCGGGACTCTCAAACAGGTCACTGAGTGCGATGATGGCATCCCATACGCCCGGCTCACTCCGACAGACTTGCGGAACGATAGAGCGCCAGAAATGAACATCCAGTCCACCACCGAGGGATACAGAGGCCTGCTGGAAGTAGTAGGCAAAGGCACGACGCTCACGCCACACCGTATTGGGCAGCAATGAAAGTGGGTGGTCCTGTATTGAAGTTGTGCAAGGCGTGGAGGAGAATGTGCCGGAAATTGTGCCTTCGTACTCGCACTTACGGCCTGTGCTGGTGCATCGTACACAATTTGGTTTCTCTTCTCCGCATTTGACTCTTCGAATTCTAGAATGTACTCAATACTCATACCTTGCTGATAACAAGAAAGCAAGCACTTACTTGCAAGTTTTACAACCGAGTCTTGATCTCAGCGGCCTGATTGGACTACTCAAGGCAGAGGACATATTGGCATCGATCAAGAGCAGTGGGAAAGAATGCCAGATTGCTCATGGATAGTGCAGAGTAGGGCGATCACTGAGATTAAGGGATCGTTGACCCGAAAAGGAACACCGAGTTATCTTGATGCTGAACGTTGACCGCAGGCTATGCCTCATTCAGTCAAGCACCGCTGCTAGACCAATTCAGTTTTCAACGAAACATTACATATACAATACCTTTCCCTCCTCGTAAAAAGAATAAAAAGCTTTGAATCATGTCGGGAAATTTCACTGAAATAACTGAACCGTGCTGGATCATGCCGGGTAAGTTCTTGCCATTCTTTCTGTCAAACAAGGTTGGCGAGAAAGATGATGTTGTTTAAAGCAGCGAGTATGCTGTTAAGGCGGCGAAAACACCATGATATCGAACGCCAACTGACATTGATCGTACTGAGAGGACCACTTGGATTCTCTTTGTTCCGTGTATCCAGTCTTCGTATCTCTCACTGGAAAACTACTCCTGGTACCAGTACTGTCAGCCGAAAGAGCTTGCGACAGGTAACCTAGTGAGCACATGTGCATCAAGCTGGTCTTTGTATCGCCATTGGTCAATCAGTGTAAGCATGGCAACTACTATGTAACCTAGGATAGGCTGAACCTGAGCAAAGAAAGGTCGAGTGGTGGCCCCTGATCCTGCGTATCTACTTCATGAGCACTCACCCCTTTCTCTTTCCTCCCTCAATTCATCTCTCGACTTTGGACATTCACAAACGGGAGTCCAACCTTTTCCTTTCATCCGACGAGATGACCCAAAAGTCAGTTGCTTCATCTCACGAGCTGGAATTCAAGTCATTCCACGATTGGAATGGTGATCGTCCTTCACAGACCTTAGTCTTCTACTCCTCCTCCTCTTCATGGTGGATCAAAGTTGAGATAGCTTGGTCTCTACCAGAGTCGATACTGCAATTAGGCTACCTCAAGCGCCGCTCTATGCTGCAAGAATTTATCAAGGCTATTGACTTCGCTCAGTTAGACCTGGTGGCCGATACTGTGACTCGCATCAGTCTCACCTTGGCTGAGCAAAGCCCTAAGCCGATTCCGATTCGTAAGGCTCGGAATGATAATCAGACAGAGGCAAATTTCTTTTTATCTATCGCCCATCGAATGACCTTCCAGATTGAAGAAGACCCGGGGAGAATTATATACCCGGTTCTTGACCAAGTTCACGATCTACCTATCTTTGAGGTTAGTTATCTAGAAGACGAAGAGGCCATCGCCCCAACCGTCTCCAGGGTCCGTTTCAAGCAGAATCGGTTTGCATATAAAAAGATCGACCGCCCTATCTATATACCAGAAGACACACATTATATCATGAACGAGATTACCGCCCTCGCACAATTTCGCGGACAGCCAAACATTGCACAACTAATCGGCCTTGTAATATCTGATAATCCTTACAAGACTCATCGATCAACAATCTCCTCGCCGGTTATCACAGGATTCCTCCTTGAATACTATCCTGTAGGCTCTCTTGAGCAAGTTCTATCGGAGAATAAAGACCTAGATGATTTATTGCTAAGTCGATGGGCAATACAGACTGGGAGGGCATTGGAAATATTGCACACACAGCAACGGACTCATCTTGACATCAAACCATCGAATGTCGTTCTTGACGCGAATAAGAATGCTATCCTTATCGATATCAGTGGAACTGGTGGGTATGAATGGGAATGGCTCTCGCCAGAGATGCAAAAGATCATTCAAAGAAGCATTGAAACGGTTCCCGCTAGCACGTCATTCGACACACGCGTCGCTACAGACTGTTGGGCTTATGGAAAGCTACTTTTGACTATGGCCAGGAAAATGGGCACCAGTAGATTTGGCGAAAAGTTACAATCTATTGGCGATGACCTGACAAACACGGATCCCAAAGCTCGCATTTCACTAAGCGACGCTCTCGAAAGGATATGGGGTCAGGAGTAAGAATAATGGCGAGTTGTTCTCCTCAGATCTGTAATATATACATGGAAGATACGTCTTTGGTTGTCAAGCTAGTATGGATTGTTTCAGTACATCAAGAACCCTGAGAGTCTAGAAGTAGGTGCAGAATCGTGGGGCAAGCTACTATCGCTGAGGCTAATACCTGAAATAAAGGAATCGACGTTTCTTACCTCGTCTCATATGCCTCGTTAAATGCATCTATTCTAGTCAAGGGAAGTCGTCGCCGGCCAGGGAAGTGAGACAAATACATCCTGAGAGACCCCGGCGACTGTTTCAGCTCACCCTAGGTGTGGAAGATTCAGGCTACCGCAGTGAGTTTGCATTAGCATTACGTGCTATTATAACACTGGGGTTACAGTTCCATCTATTACTGATTGCCTTCGATGAACGCCCCCCGGCCCACGTCTCCTTTCATTACCGGACAACAGGTGTGTTGCGCAACAGACTTGGACTCAAAAGAGAGGGACCAGGTCAGTTGGTAGTTGGTATCGGCTATATCACAATCTAACGGGGACACAGGAAAGATCACGATTGAATTGATATCCTTAGGGTAGTATAAGCCTAAGAGTAGTCTTGCAGGTGCCAGTCCTCATCAACTAGTACCCATGCAGGATAGTGGTTGGGGACCAGCCGTGGGAGTGAACTGTAATTTCAGCCTCTCTATTTTCTCTGAACCTGGATTCAGTTACTCAAAGAAGCCAGAGAGGTATGTCCATAATCTAGTCGCGGAGCAGGCTATAATCTCATCAACCATGTCTGTGTTCAGACCCCGCCACATACACCAATAGATGGCTGCTTGTATTACACGATTATTGACTAACGACCAGAAAACGGTGGTGCAATGTCTTAGCTTTCATCTAGTATCCGTTTGAATGGCTGATGAGCTTACTATTCTGTACAAGGGAATGCCCAACCCTAAGGGAACTACTGACGGGAGTATGCATATGTTAGCTCAAACCGTATAGGAAGTATTTTACATACAATATCTTCCCACTTGTCGCTGGACTTCTAACAGTCATATGACGCTAATGACCTTTAGTTCTGAGTTGCTTGGGGTCTTTGTATGCGAATATATGCATGGTAGCCACCTGCACTACTTCGTAGGCCCAAGTACAACCTCCGTTCTCCATTGCTGCAAATCAGAAGCCTACTATAATTGTATCCATAATCTTTCTCATATTGACGCTCGGACCTCTCCACCGTGAAGCTGACGAGGCGCTGGTTAATTGGAGTAAGGCTGAAGTCGAAAATGCTGCTCAGAGCTGCAGCCGGTGCGCCAAGTTGGCAGCATTTCCCCAATGAGCTGCCCAATAACGCTGAATCGATGTCTGGATCTTACCGCAAACAAAAAGAATATGAACCTCGCACGTTGTGTCAGGCTTACTACACAGAATTAGACCTAAATCTTTATTTGTATATATGGATTTCGGACGTAATGACTCTAGCCGGGTGTGTCTCACATGTCATAGAGACAAAAGCCAGCTGAGCTTGGAGCCGGGGTTTCCGTGCCACGAACACTCCTGTGGTACTATTATTTTTCTGTGAAGCTTGGTTGCCTTGTCCAAGGCCAGGCTAGCCATCCTTCGCTTCCATAGATCATGGAAAATCGTGGAGCTAATGTGGCGGGGCCTACTAGCACTCTATCTACCTTGTGGCTGTACAGTAGATCGCAATGACAAGGCGTCACATGGCCTATCACTATGGTTGGCTTTGCCCTTTAGAGGAAATATGTCCATAGCTATTGTCGCTGATTGCTGATACTAGATATGAGCCAGCATGTCCTGGCCACTGTTAAACCGGTTGAATTAAATATCGGCCTGTAGGGTTCCAGGCCAATATGAGCCGCCCGAGCGGGACCCCGAGGCCTTACGAGGTGGCTGCTGACTGGTAAGAGGTAGACGTTGAACGGATTGGCAGCTCTAGTGAATAGTGGGGTCCATTCCTGCGCGTCAGACGCACCGGTGTGGACTTTGGAACTTGGCGAGATTACGAATCCTGAGGTTGAACTGACCTTCTGATGTGGTTTCTTTCTCGGCGTGCGACCAAACTTGCCATCTGACCACTACAACCCTAAGGCGAACTGCCCACCGTTGATCCCATCATTCCGGACAGAAAAATCAGCCTTCTGGGAGTTCGTCGTACGAAGGAAACACCGCTAATCTATTTATATTGAACGGGCCTCTTGGCAACCAACAGCCATCGGACTCGTCCATGAGGACGATTGGTGGAAAGAAGCTAGACCTAAACCCTTCGGGCAGAAGATCCACAGGGAACCCTGTCGATTTGACAGACGCTCTAGCCAAAGGAATTGAGGCTGGACCAGCTCATTTCCAAGCTGTACCACTTGCGGCTTGAGAACCGTGGAGATAGCCGTGTGCTTCTTGCAGATGGAGTGAATACATATTCTACTCGAGAGGCCGTTGCGCGTGGGGTTTCCTCTCGCCCCGATCACGGTCTTCATTGACCACCGTATGTCGATGTTTGGGTACCATGCCTTCAAATCAAGAAGAATACCTTCTACCGCCGTTGTCAAGATTATCCCACTCCGAGTCCGACCGGCCACAAGCGTCTTGGAGCCCATTCGACCCGAGCCCTCCGGCCGACTCCGACCGTTCCTACATCCGCTATGAGCGGACATCTTCCTCGCACCACGAGCAGGACATTGCCTCCCACAATGAGGCCTTTACAACGGTGGGCCTAGGAATCGAAACTGTGAGACGCAGGCCAGCTTCCATCCACTTCGTTGAAGGCTTGGATGAAGCTCGTCCCGGGGGAGAATCGCGTTCCCCGCACCTGTCGGAGCAGGCCACGCCGCGGTCGCACACCTCGAAAACACCCCTTCTAGAAAGCGAGGTGCGATGTCCTCATAGAGATACAATCGCCCAGCGATGGTTTCGCTGGGTGCCCATGACCATCCTGGTGCTGGCGGTATATGCGACCGTGTGGTCGGGGTTATATTTCTTTGTCGCCTGTCTGAAGCCGCGATATGGAAACTTCATCGGTGTCGACGGCAATGTTGCGCCCTCGACTGCCAACTTACTGAGTGCCATGTTCGCGAAGACAATTGAATTGGCATACGTTACCGTTTTTGTCGCCTGTCTGGGGCAGTTCTTGAGTCGACGAGCCCTCCAGAAGGACTCCAACGGCATCACCATTTCCGACATGAGCATGCGGACATGGATCATGCAGCCGGGGTCGATGATAGTTCACTGGGAGACATTGCGCTATTCAGCCTTGACCTTTCTCGGTGCGATGACCCTGACGGCGACTATCATCGCCATGCTCTATACAACTGCGGCGGAGGCATTGGGTAAGTGCACAGGCTCAGACGGATTGAGGTTGACAGTAGTGGCGTCTATGATTCTGACCCCGATCATTCAGTATCACCCAAATTGCTTGCAGGACCGCAGGAAGATAGAACCCTACGAGCGAACGTTTCCACCGACTTTTTCAACCCAGTCTACATGGGTTTGAACTGCGAAACGCCGATCCTCAGCCAGACGGACCCAATTTACCGTAATACAACATGTCTTCAAATACAGCACGTCGGACAGGCATACCACAACTACGTTGCTTACTTGAACCGCTGGAGCAAGATGGTGACCAACGGCGAGGCTGCGTCGGCTGTGTTAGAAGAGCGACCTCCTCCCTCGGGTTCGATCCACGATAATACAACGGTGACTGGAAGTTGGATCGATCGCAGCAACATGACGGAGTTATCGCTGCGGCATAAACGGATGGTCTTAAATGTTACGGCTGCTATGCCTCATGCTGGAGTTCTCGCCGCGGCAAAGGACCCCGTCAATGGACTTAAACAGCCGCAAAATTCATCGGAGGGTCAGTTTGACATGATCGCTGCTGCTCCATGTCCGGCAATCAACGTGTTGTGCGTGGGCATGACAGCTAATGAACTGAAACCACTGATCTATGATATGTGGCCGGGGAAGAAATTCAACGTGGAGAAGTGGGCCGAACAAGAGAAGGAGCTCCCTACCTGGCCAGACTCCTGGCTGAATCGAACTGTTGTGGATGATATCTTCGGTTGGGGACCAAAGTATGGATGGCGTCCACCAATCTTTGGCAGGCTCCCCGGCGAGTATCAGACAATCCTCAACCATTCGGCGCCGTTTGGCAACGCAATGTATGTATTGGGGAAACCTCCCAACGCCACGGGGGTGGACTACGCCCTATGCTCAATGAAGGCGAAAAAGACACCGCGGTGTTCAGTGCGATATACTGCATCTGCCAGTGGAGCCAAGTTTATCACGAACTGTGAAAAGCCGAATAACAAGTGGCAGTTCGATCGGTTCTTCCCAGACGCAGTGGATGGTAACTGGAGCTTGGATTGGAAGAACATTGGATCGGAATGGGGCAATTCCCTGAGTTTGAATGCCGGCATCAATGACGGCAAGGCGTCCAATGCCCGACTGCTGATGCAGCTCACCCCCTCGGGCTACTCCCTGGAGCCCGGTCTACCATCTCTCGCGGAGGCGCTGGCAGTGATGGCAGGCAATACCTTGATTATGGGGACGCAGAACGCCACCTTCCTTCCCTATTGGAATCACTCTGACGCCTCCCTCGCGGAACCCGAGATCGAATACTTCAACGCCACTATAAGCATCGTCGACTACCAATCCGCCGGGACAGAGAAATGGCAGGGTGCCTTCTTTCCAGTCTTGTTCCTCACTTTCGTCACCAGCGTCCTGTGTCTCGGCTACTTGTTAAGCGAAAAGGGTCGGCAGCTTACCGACTTCACAGAGCCGCAGAACCTATTCGCTCTAGCCATCAACAGCCCGGCCACATCGCGGTTAGAGGGTGCTTGTGGTGCCGGGCCTCAGGGACCTCAATTTAAGGAGAAATGGTTCGTGGGTATGGAAGAGGATGACGAGCATTATTATATTCGGACTAAGGCGGAGGAGAACACTCCGTTGATCTCGACGGCAAAGGTGTCGACGGAATCCGAACGTCCTAAGTCAGTGAGTCCAGCTCTCGAGGAATATCGAAGATTGTCTACAGGGCAGGGCGTCCTTGGTAGATGGTACTAAAACATTTTATGTGTATGATATGTGTGGAACTAGTTTGAGTTTTGTTTGGAGCGACTTTCTGTTGATAATACAGTGATATCTAATGTCTACCATGGATATACATCCAGATGAGTAATGACTTGAAAACATTGCAGATTTAATGGTATTAGTACGGAGAGGTTCAACCGAGAGAGCAGTCTTTCGCGTTGATAAATTGATGGCCATTGCTGGTCCCGAAGGCAACTTTAGCAAGTGTGAATGGTATGATCCACTACCTCCGGACAAGGCTCTTATGAATGCTCGAACCTGTGAAACACATAGACTCCAACTCTGTGTTTGAGGCAAAGATTCACCCCAAATTCACATGATATGCGGGTCATACGGGCAAGATCAATATACCGACTGGCCGCAGCATTGGCAGGCAGCAAAGAACATACTCTCTCGCTAATCAATAAACATCATAATTGTATCGAGGCTGATATTATAGCCAGTGGAGTGTGGGAAGTTTCTGGTCTTGCTTAATAGCACATTTGACCGCATGGCGGAGTTCGTCCTAGGCAAATGTTTCAACATGATCTCACACAAAGGATGGCGCTTAGCTGTTCTGATCCTGCAGAAGGCGCTGTCCATCTCGGAACCCCTGAACCCAATGCCTTGGCTCGTTCAGATAGCGCTCCGACTGATGCTTCAAATCTGAATTAAAAGGGACTGGTTTGGCTTGATAGTCTTGTGGGAGGTTGAGTTGAGAAACATACAGGTTCAAGACCTCGGTCTTGACAATCTCCCATGTCGGGGTAAAACTAGCGGCGACTAATAAAATCAGTCCCGGGGGCAGGATTTGCACCAGGAACAAAGAATTGACCCCTGCTAAAGCCCGTGGGGGTCAAATACTACTACTAATGCAATATAACATCCTCTATGATCTAGGATGATTGAACGAGGAACTTGGGTACACCACACGTGCCACCATTTAACACGCCTCTTCGCCTTTCTCTGATCTTCATGTGGCAGTATATCTGAGTGACCAGACTGTAGTTATTTCTTTCAGGGGTTCTAAATAGGGGTTGGCGACTGGCGGCTTTGTATGCTATACATTTCTTGTGGGCCTGTTGTCACTTGACAGTATCTACCCTGAAACTGGCATCTTAAAATTCGTCGTCAAAAAGGAGGCTAGCCGTGTTTGACACGAATGTCCTGGAATGATGTCAGAGGATATTGTTATAGCAAGACAGGACCATTCTCTGATACACTACAGATTGATCAGCGACTGGCTGGTAGAAATATCTGTGGCAGGGTGGAGATCTTCATTGTACTACCTTGCAGTCCAAGGCAGTTATACTAGCTCTGATTGCTTCAGATGATGTTGATAATCATGTAGCAGGAATTCTAATTTTGACTGCAATTGCTCTATAATACACCAGAAAGAATATAAACTACCAACAGGCAGGAAATGGCCAAAATCTCCTTGACTAAAATGCCTGCTTGCCAGTCTGAACAGCCCGAATGATCCCCGCCTGCGCCAGTTTCTCTACCATGTTAAATAATACAAAGTCGCATCCCCGACGTACGATCAGATTGATACTCACGGGAAACTGTTCCGTCACCTTCGACACCGGAGAATGATAGGGCACTTGGCCCAAGGGAATGGTGAAATCGGCGCAGCTGCAGCAAACACATTAGTTCATCTTGCAACTCTGCATTAACAGGATGCCAACTGCACTCACCCGAAGATAGGACAAATCAAGGAACAAGGTATTGCGGCCCCATCTGGCATCATGCCCAAGAATGTCGCATTGGGCCCCTCGTTCAGGGCCTTCTCGCGGAAGCTGGGCAACCCACCGGTGCCAATATCACAGACTAGTAATGACTCCGAGCAAGATTCGCGCGTCTCCAGCATCACATTCCTTTCAAACCAGTCGACCCCTTTCCGTTTCTCCTGTAAAGCCTGGTTGTAAGCTGCTTGGTTGACGACACTGGCGTTGAAGTCCGACCATTCTTTGCGCCACAGCGGATCTACTGGAGGGAAACGACCTTCGTAACGACGTGACCATTCGGTCATGAGAGGGTCAGCAACGCAAAGATGCGATGACCAATACGATAGGGTAGCGGTTCCCGTCAGAAGACGGTCCAAGCTGTCCTGCTTGTCTGAGAGGATAGGTGCATCGGTGAGTGTGGCGCTAAGATTGGTGTGTTTGATAGTCATATTGAGTGCCTTTGCCATGCTTGACAGAAAGGCTTCAACGATCTTCTGGGCGGCGGGATTGGCAAGGGGGAATTGCTCATCCGGGTACAATATTTGGGCTGGGAAAGCCATGGTGTTCGGCACCGACAAGGGGGATAATCCAGTAATCGACTCTGGCTGGTGAAGATCTGGAGTATACCACGCCTTGGCAAACTTGGCCCATTCGACTGGATTCCGCCCAAGTACACCGGCTGTGTCCTCTGCCCAATTCTGAGCAAGCATGCCCTCCAGCGTTATCATTCCCTGACTGGGTCGGTTTCCGAAGGTTCCTGTAACAGCCGCTGGGCGACGGACTGAAACGCCAGTGTCACTTCCAATCGCCGCATCCAGCCAGTCGTACGCCGCAATCGAGCAGGCTCCTCCGGACGTGGATGCTGCGCAAGTCAAGTATCCATCACCCCGTGGGTTAAAGGGAGCTTGCCCATCGGTCCAATCCCAGGGATTCGCACCGGACGCAAACTGTGCCAACTTTTGCTTCCCCACGAGAACCGCACCCAAATCGACCAGCCGCTGAATCGCGGGCGCCGTTCGGTTGGCAACTGGCGTGGTCTGGGTCCATGCCTGACTTCCCGCTGATGTCTGCACTCCTTTGATATCAAAAATATCTTTCACTGCGACTCGTTTACCAGCTAACGGCCGCGGGTCTCCCCACGAATGGATACGACTTGGCACCGGCACCACCGGTGCCCAGAGCCTTGAAGACATAAATTGAAGAGGCACAAAAGAGCCACTCTCATCGTTCGACGGATATATACCGCTGATAAAATCGCGGTAGGCGTCAGGGAATAGGCGATATGTGTCTAGCAGACTGATCTTGTCTTTCGACATCACAACGGTATATGGACCAGGTGTCACAGTCTTAGCGGAGTTGTGCTGCACGTGTATTGCTCGTCCGCCCTGACTCTTGAAGACACTGGAGTCAACATAGATGGTCTCAGCACCGGCACTCGCCAGATAGTCCAAACCATTGGCGTTAATACTGGCATTGGCGGCGGATGAGGTGAGATAGATAGCACCAAGAAACCCTCTGGAGAAAACGTCGTCATTGGCCAGATAGCTCGAAATTGTGGCGTTGAGGTAGCGAGCAGTTACGATGCTCTCGTTGGCAATGATGACTGTCAATGTCATGTATACGCCAGTACCTTGGTGACTTTTATCTTTGGGGTAGGTGATCGTCAATATATCCCGCGGATGCTTTGCATTGGCAAAATAAGTAGTGTCACCTAGTTGATAGGCAACACCTTCAGATCCTTGGTGTACGTTTAACAGAGAAGAAGGACTTGCTCTGCCGCTTTGGAAAACTGAGCCAAAGGCGAGAACTTTGAAGATTTGCATCCACGAAACCATCCTGGCCATTGGTTGTTGTGAACCGACTGCAATGTTACCACCTCTGATCATCATAAGGAGGCCCTATTATACTGTGGGCGAAGGGTGGTGGCCCAGCCGAAGCAAGGGCCTCAGCCACGACATGCACGTTTCCTGGGATGTCTTAAAATGCGATTTCTGATTGCAGTAACCGGGGTTCGTATCGTATTCCCATGTCTGTGGGGACCCATTTCTTACGTGACTGACCATCCTCGCTGCTGGCTCATTGAGCCAGGATAATGTGAAGGCGATCTATTAAGGTACTGAAAGATAGGTTGGTTGTTGGTGGCACATGGCTCCTTAGAGGCGGGACTAAGTCATGTCGCACAGACATTGGGTTGAATTGAATTTCTTGCCCAGAAGGCTGCACTGCTGGAAGGAGACTCCAGACCTCTTCCTCGACCAGTGACACCAACAATTACTCAATGGACTCATTTCACTGTTCCTGATCTGTTGGGTTTCTTTCCTGGTCTCCCATTGGTGAAGAGGAAGTTGTAGGATCGACCATTAATTTCCGCATGGTTCGAAAGTACCAGAGAGTGAGCTGAATGGATCCTTGGTGAGGCGCAGATTGGTAGTATTGTTGCACAAGAACAATAAGCAAATTAGAGCTGAAGCTCTCAGGAGAGAGTATCGTTCCCCAAAACAGTCTTCCACATAGTCCCCGACCGGGAACTCATTTCCTCTCCCCATTCAATCTGTTTTCAGTCCCCCTTTTCAAGAAATTCTTTGGTTTGACGACTAAATTGGATAATTCTGTGCTCAGTGGGCGCGATGGAATACGAAGGTCTGGGCCACGCTCAATTTCCGCGTCTTTGTTTCATGGTCCGGCAGACAGGTAGATCATTGGGACAAGTCGAACCTGACCTGATCTGTCAAAGTCTTCTTTGGCCTTGAACCCGTCTTCCTTGTACGGCTCTTCCGTGACAAAGAGAGAGATCGGCTTTCCTGAGAAACATTCTCACTTGGCTGCACGTGGGTGGCAGGTCACTCCCCTCGAGATCATGTGCCCTCACATGTGTTCGGCTTTCCCGTTACGTCCATGCAAATAGATCCTTCGACATCCAACACACTATGGAATTGTTCATGGCAGTGGAGATAGTTTCCCATCTGCAATGAATTTAATTTTTGTCAGTAAAGTCTGCGGGACAAACTTACTTGCCGACGTGCAGCCACAGCACCGAATTGTCGGTTATTCCCCGAACTATGCTCATCAATCCCGCATGCGACACTGCAATCGTCAACATTATGGATCCGGACTTAGTTATCACAGGTCTCTCGGATTGTACAGTATCTCCTCCCATTGCCATCCTATGGCCTTATCACATTGACATACTGGATTCAGTAGCCTAACCTTGCAAGTCCAGTGCCATCGCGCGCAACATACGCGGTGGCGTGACCTAGATATCCTAGGGTCGCTCCACGCATTGGCAAACCCGTTCTGCTTCAAATCAAGAACGAAATTTGCCCTTGCCATGGCGAAATGATCAGCGCCGTTAGATCACGGTATTTGCGCACGGTCGCGATCAACCTTTTGGATAAGCTCAACCCCTCTCATGACTTGAATCCCATGTGGTGTCGATCGTGGAAAACCTTGGAAGAGAATTTTATCTTAGTGTCCAGACATGAATCCTTGATAGGTGGGACCGCACGACGATTGGTTGCGCATTACTTCATAAATAGTTGAGAGGAATCCTTGGTCTCATCGCGTCAGATGCCCTTGGCCAGCACTTATCCCACTAAAAATGCGAAAGGAGTCTGAAAGTGGGTCTTTTTGTTGTTTTGCAGCACACTATATACTGGTGTCTGAGGGGGAAGGGACGGACTCCTACTAATTGAGCCCTATTTGTCCGACACTAGATCAGTACCAAGGACAGTCATTCCACGCCTACTTGCTGCTCTCATTGCAGATTTCTGATGTTATCGTGCATTGAGTTCAAACCTTGAAACGAATGAAAAGTTTATTCGCTTAGCGGCACTGACACGGCTTTTGCCCACATGGAATTTTCCACGCCTCAATCATGCAGGTCATTGGCTTGGGCACTGCACTATCTACTATACATGAAACAGACTTGCTCAATTGATCCAAGCGCAGGATTCACGTGGGGTACCAGCCTCTAGCCATGCACCCTGTTTGCTTGTTACTTGCAGATCTCCGGCTCGGACTCCGTTTATCAGCGTGGTTCATGAATGGCAGGTAGGGATCAAGGACACTAATCAATAAACTAATCGACACCGCTTCTGCAGTGAGTATTTTGGATGGAGCAATGGGCACGCCATGGGCACGCCCGACTCTTAGTGGAGGTGCTAATTCAGACCCTAATGCGGGATCCGTGCCCGAGGTGACATCGCGCTCTGTTCCTCGGCAGGACGGGCAGCAGTCTTGTGCCTTTTGCTTATGCTTTTCAGGTTAGATACTATAGACCCTATCAACTATATGGATTCGGTGGGGATCCGGCAGCGAACAAGGTCGGTCCTGTCTCGTATTCGACGCCTTTATCCACCATGCGCCCGGAGCTGCTTCCTAATAAATAGCTCGAATATGTGTGATTTCTGCCATATTAGTCGTGAAGTAGATCCGTCTATGTTTCAACTGACCTCAACCCATGTTTTGTATCGTCTTCATCGCACCATCGACTGCGGTGTGCGGCCACAATGGGATCCTTAGATATCCCGCTTGAAGAAGTCCCCGTTTATATCGGAGACCGGCTACTGATCTTCACTGCTCTCTTCGTGCCTCTTCAAATATTCTGCGTTGCTCTGCGATTTATTTCTAGATACAAGGTTCGGACACCATGGGGCTTGGATGATGCTGTGATCTTGTTTGCGCTTGCTCAGCAGATGGGTATGGCAGGCATCAGTATAGGTTCGTGGCCAGGTCATCCAAGGCTGGCCTACATCAGAGGTGCTGACTCTTGCTCTAGGTGCTGTTAAATTCGCTGGCGTCGGACACCATATCCCGTGGTTACTGGTGAAAGACCCAGCCAGTCTGAGGATCTGGGCGAAGTATCTCCTCGCTCTGTCGTTTCTCTATTTAGGAAGTGTCAATCTTCCAAAGTTCTCCATCCTGTTACTGTATTATAAGCTCTTCCCAACCAGGAAGATGAGAGCAATGGTAAAATTCATGATGGTGGTCCTGGTTCTCATCACCATAGCTACAATCGCTGGCACGAGCCTCGTCTGTCGACCGTTCTCCGCTAACTGGGATGGCTCTATCCCTGGCAACTGTGGCAACAAGAAAGTTCTTTACATCTGGGCCAGTTTCCCCAATATTGTGACCGATGTTATCCTACTTCTTCTTCCAATGCCAGTGTTGTGGTCACTTAATGTCAGTCAACGCTTAAAAGTCGGGCTGACAATCACGTTCGCAGTAGGCAGCATGTGAGATTAATCACCTTGTCCTCTACCGTTTTACTTCTACTGACATGGGATGATTTGGTTCTCAGAGGATTAGTTACCTCAGTTATACGCTTCCAGATCTTTTTCCGAAACAATGCCTTTCTGGACGGGACCTGGGTAGCTGTTGAACTCATAATTTGGACCCAAGTCGAGACCGGGGTTTACCTCATATCTGCCTGTCTACCCACATATAGACCACTCCTTGAACATGTCGGATCTAGCAGGGTAGTTTCTAAGCTCAGTCGCTCGATGTCTCGACGAGGGACGGGGACGAGCGAGACGCGGGACACCCTGCCATTACACTCGGTGACTGCTGTGGGCCAACCTTACTATCGCAGCGACGAGGTATATGCTGGCTACAATCCACATCAGAAGTTTGAAGTCACCGTGAGCCACGAAATCTTCCAGCATACTGAACCCCAACGGATGTACAGTCGCCTTTGAGCCTGGCGCTTTTGGCCGAAACATGTATGTCTATTATCTAGTAAATGGTACTTCTGACCATTTTCAAGCTCTTTGGGACTTTGGTAGTATTATATTATATTCAACTAGCGGCTCATACACCATCCCAAATGCGAAGGACTGGCAACCAGCCATTGGTTCCATGAGTGGAAGCGCCGTGAAGCTTCGCATTCTGACACTGACAAACACCGTTTCACCGAGCACTGTTCGCCGCGATGAAACATCCGCCTCAATACAAGACACAATCATTACAAATATAACGGCCCCTTGAACTTGCCGTTAGACTACCACCCGGACTCGACTTTGTAAGGTATACATTGTCCCTACGCTCTATGTCCTAAATGACCCAAAGGCTGTCAATACTATTGATCAGACAATCATGTCTGCGCAAGGCAAGACATTTGACCAGATCACTAGTTGGCAACGTAGTCGGTGCCCTGCCCCGTCGAAGGCTGTTCCAACTCCATGATCACGGACGTTCGGCCCCAGCCATATAGCATTGTCAATGGGGGCAAAGGGCCCTGTATCGAATAATATGAGTCATCTGCCAAGCATAATTTCTTTTTATATTATCAGAACGAGATCTCCAGGATGGCGCGATGCGGCTGATGCGCCCAGCAACTTGTTTCGAAGTGACCAGCCGCACTATCTTTCCAAGATCTGCCCTTGTTGTTCCGACCCATGTCCGAGAACCTACTTTGTCCTTGAGAGACTCACTGGCATTCACTCGACCATAACCAAAATCGGGGACTAAAGGATGATCTCGGACCATGCGACTAGTACGAGGCAAATTTAATGTTTACCTATGGACGCACGCACTTTGCGGGGCAATGAATGGAACCTGCTTGCGAACAAGTCGAATGCTCCAGACCAGCGTTGGAACACTGAATCTAAGCGATGGTGTTTCTAGCCGGCTGGGCTCCTGCTTAAAAGCCCTGTGGAACCAAATCTTATACTAGACCTGGTATGGACACATACAGTTGTCCCCGACATTTGCCCCATCCATAGTGTCGACAATACCCGCATCGTGTCTGGATCGGACCAGGAAATGTTTCGTATTAATCCCTCCTGTGTCACCATCTTGCCCGAGACCCGGCCAAAAATCGGGTACGGCAACAGGAGGTGCATCCATAAGCTTTAACTCAGTCGCCCGAAGCCGACTTTTGAAGGAACCATTATCTTTCCCGGTTTTCAGAGATGTGATGCGTGGTTACACGAGGCGCTCTGTCTTTTCTTTGTTTGACGCTCACGCTCCGTCCCATCGGAGGTGAACACGAATCCTGTGGCCATCCGGAATTAGTTTGTGCTTGCGTTGGGCAATACCTAACTTTGGGCCTTTGTCTTCAAGTTACGTCATTTAGGCTAGGTATGCTTTGAAGAATGTGCTATTCTCGGATGTGAATATGTATTATAGGTTCTATGCGTTATAAAACTGTATTAATAGCTCATATCAGAGCACCACATGTTGCTAAACAACCTTAGGCTTCTTCAATAGGGGACCGGTGTGGTCTAGTCGATATATCTTATCTGCACTATATACAATCTCAAGCCGAAGGAACTCAGCTCTCACAGACGCTGTGCCCGCGGAGAAAGAACAGAGCCAGCTAACTTGTGTTGGCCCTGCTGCCACATCTCCCAAAAGGCAGGCACCCGGGGAATAGCATCGGCCAATTTCCGAAGGCCAGTGAACCCCCGCCGAGCATGGGCCGACGGGACCCCTGCATCCAGCTGATTCAACGAATTATTGAACACCTCCAGCGACATGGGACCCTTATACCCTGTCGCAACCACAGCAGCCGCGACCAAATCGACAGGCATATACCCTCCTCGCTGGGATTCATACGGAAACAGCCGGTGGCCCCTTGACCAGGGCAGCAAAGCCGGCACGTCCGGATCGGTTGGTGGTTGGAATATCTTCGGGTCCATACGCTCAGCGTCACCGACCTGGAAGAAAAAGATACGGTCCCCGGGAACAGACGCGACCAGCCCGGCCATAGATGCGCAAAGTACATCGACCGATTCCTCAGGCGTAGAATACAGCCGTCCATGACCGGCCGGGTTATACGGATCGGCATACTCGACCGCTAGCACATTAAAGGCGTCAATTATAAGCCCAACATTGGGACGGTTCGCCATCCGGACTGCCTCCCACGTAGATGCCCATGTATTTCTTGTCGCCCACGAGAGGCCCTCATAGCCAATACGTAGCATCGGCCCCCCATCTGCTTCGGCGAAGGCCTGAGCCATATCTCCCAACTCTGCCAAATCCCGGGCCACCGTCTTCAAATCGGAGGTCACGCCATCGTCCGTCCGGATACTGGCACACATGAATACCAGGTCGGTATCGAATGCGCGCATGAATGGGAATCGTTTCGCGACCAAGTCCAGGGATGCGCGTCGCTCGACCGGGTCCTTGATCCCCTCGATCTTTCGGAGGGGCTGTGTGCACGCGATCCGCATTCCCAGGGATTTTACCCGATCACCTAGTTTCCGCGCAACCCGTAGGTTCTCCTCCGTTGGCTCCCATAGTTGGTCCCCTGGTAAACCATGTTCTTCAAGATACGCAGCCCAGCATTCGTCGAATAAGTCGATCCATTTGTATCCCGCTTTCGCCGCTTCTTCTAGTCGGGGCTGCAGTTTATGCTGTCTCCAGTTGCCGAGGGAGAGGGTGGCGATGCCGAATTCATTGGCAATGGATGCGGGTGGCCAGTCGATTGGCATGATGAGTTTACTTGTTTTGATGTGGTGTAAAGAGTGCTGGATCGGCGCTTGCAATTGAAATATATAGGATGGTGGAGTGAGTCAGGGATTGTCCAGAGATGGAGGATATTCTCCCCACGGGGTTGGACGGGTAAGCGTTGCGGGGATGAACGCTTTTCCCCGGGGATAAACCTTTCACATTTAGACTTTTATTATATGACTCTGGGCGGGGATGAGGTTTTATTTCTCCTGTATATGTTTCCTGCTCTCCGGAGCATAAAATAAGTCGCCGGATGGACCGGTGTGGGTGGGGCGGAATGACGGCATCTTCCGTGGCTCAACCATGAATTCAACTCAACATTCATTCATTACATCCGCCTCTTCTGCAGCCAAAGAAATTACAATCAGCACTGCAGTAGCGATCATTGCGTGCGAATAGACCTTTTGTTCTACGCATGCGAAGATATATGGCACAGAGCGACAGACTTGAGAGGACTGGGAGAAAAGGCACGTTTCGACGGGGAAAGAAAAGCTATGCAAGAACAGGTTAAGCAAGAATGGAGGCCCACAGGTGGGAAGAAATAAAGCAAGAAAGAATCAAGGCAACAAGGTGAAAAAAAAAAAAATGAGATAATGCATAATTGTCTCAATTCAGATGGCGAGAGGAATCGGGTGCATTAACTAACAAGATCGCCGCATCCCACTTTGCAACGAACAGCACACCATCTTGGCTCAACGACATCCAGAAGTGAAAGACAAAATAAGACACTGGTCATTGATATTGCCTAAATGGTTAAATGACGAAGCTCTTCTCATCAATGGCTCAGTGGTGATCAGGTGGAAACGGCCAACGTTCTCGCTCAACGATGTTCCAGAAATTAACCAATCTGATGGTAATGGAGTTATGGATGGGACCATTTTATGCGGCCGTTCCGGCCGTTCCATAAAACAAGCAAGCATCTGTGCTCGCCAGCAAGCAAAGGCAGCGATTGCAGGGTCCTACCCGAACTAAATCGCAACCTACATGACGCCATGTGGACCTGATCGACCAGCGAAGCAAATCGGAATCAATATCTCCGAAGAACAGACGTCGGAGTCCCCTCAGTCTCCTCATTCACTCCACATTCGGTCTCCGTTGGGGGTTTGTGACAGTCTCGTCGGAGCCGTTTTCAGCCTGGATTCGCCAATCATCATCATATACACCAACTCTCTCATCCGATCTATGCATAAGCCGGCCGGACCTCCACAGCAAGCCATGATGTCACACGCCCTCGGGATCATTTTATTCAGGCTATTTGAACGGATAAAACACATATCAAAATGATTTAAGGCTGGAGGGAATACTAGCTAAGGCTTCAATCTCAAGGCCGTTGAGCAAAATGTATCGCTGGTTGGTGGCCCTAACAGCCTGCGCCGCACACCTGGTGCAGGCGACCCCGATCCAGACGCGAGAATCGGATTACTTCCTGCCCAACTCGACTGGATTTCGCATGCAGCATGGGTTCGAAACTATTCTGGTGCAGCCCTTTGGCTACGATGGGTTCCGTGTGCGCGCTTGGCCCTTCCGGCCTCCTACGGGGCATGAGATCAGCTTCATCTACGATCCGCCACTGGAAGGCTTTGAGGATGGACAAGCACATGAGATGAACTTTGACACGGCATTTAATGGTAACCACACCGTTGCCATTCGCAATGGAAACACTATTGTGCGAACGTCTGGTTGGGGTGGAAACCCCGGAGGATATCGGCTGGCATTCTATCGCATCGAGCAAGATGGTTCTGAGACCCTGTTGACAAACGAGTATGCGCCACTCAAATCGGTCAACCCCCGTTACTACTCTTGGAACGGTCCAGGAAGCGAATTCTCTGCCGAGTTCTCGTTCAGTACAACACCCGACGAGCAGTTCTATGGCACGGGCACACAACAGGACCATCTTGTCAACAAAAAAGGAACGGTCATTGACTTGATCAACTTCAACACTCACATCCCGACACCCGTGTTCATGAGCAACAAGGGCTATGCATTTGTCTGGAATATGCCAGCCCAGGGTCGCATGGAATTCGGACAACTACGCACCAAACTCACCGCAGCCTCCACCACAGTCGTCGACTATGTGATCGTAGCCACGACGCCAAGCGACTACGACACACTCCAGAGACGTTTATCTGCCTTGACAGGTAGAGCACCTACTCCTCCTGACTTCTCGCTCGGATACATCCAGTCTAAGCTCCGCTATGAGAACCAGACGGAACTAGAGCTCCTGGCACAGAAGTTCAAAGACAACGACGTGCCCGTCGGAATGTTCGTCATCGATTACCAGTCCTGGCGGAATCAGGGCGACTGGGGTCTCGATCCAGCGCTATGGCCAGACGTAGCAGCAATGGCCAAGAAAGTAAAAGATCTCACGGGGGCAGAGATCATGGCATCTCTCTGGCCCAGTGTATCCGACGCTAGCGACAACTACTTAGAGCTGCAAGCCAACGGATACTTGTCTGCAACTCGTGACGGCCCCGGAACCACCGATTCATGGAATGGCTCATACATCCGCAATGTCGACTCAACGAACCCAGGCGCGCGAAAGTTCATCTGGTCGACCTTGAAGCGAAACTACTATGACAAAGGGATCAAGAACTTCTGGATCGATCAAGCTGACGGTGGTGCCCTTGGGGAAGCCTACGAAAACAACGGTCAAAGCACCTACATCCAGTCTGTCCCCTTCGCCCTACCCAACGTCCTCTACGCGGTTGGTACCCAGCAGAGCGCCGGGAAATATTACCCGTGGGCCCACCAGCAGGCAATCGATGAAGGCTTCCGCAACGTCACCGACAGCAAGGAAGGCGAAGCCTGTGAGCACATCTCGCTCAGTCGGTCCGGCTATATCGGGTCTCAAAGATTCTGCAGCATGATCTGGTCAGGAGATGTCACGTCTGTCTGGGAGACACTGGGTCTTCAAATTGCCAGTGGACTGTCCGCCGCCGCGACAGGCTGGGGCTGGTGGACGATGGACGCCGGCGGCTTCCAGCCCGACCCGACAGTATCATGGAGCGCTAACATCGACACGCCAGAGTATCGCGAGTTGTACGTGCGTTGGCTGCAGTGGGCTACGTTCGTTCCCTTCATGCGCACGCACGGTCAACGAGTCTGCGACACACAGGATGCATACACGTGTAACAACGAGCCGTGGTCGTACGGAGAGAAGAACACCCCGATTATCCTCTCGTACATCCACCTCCGGTACCAGCTGGGCTGGTATTTGCGCGCTCTTTTCGACCAGTTCCACAAGACTGGTCGCATGATCATGCGTCCCTTGTACATGGATTTCGAGAAGACCGATCCGAAGGTCTCGCAGTGGACGCAAGCGAACAACAATGTGACAACGCAGCAGTATATGTTCGGCCCGAGATTGCTTGTGTCACCTATTACCACGCCGAATGTCACCGAATGGTCGGTATATCTTCCGCAAACGGGCCAGAACGATACCAAGTCTTGGACGTACTGGTGGACTAATCAGTCCTATGCTGGTGGTCAGACGGTTACTGTGCCCGCGCCGGTGGAACATATACCTCTATTCCATCTTGGGAAGAGGGAGGATATTCTTAGTGGTAATGTCTTCTAAGAAATGATATGTCTTTATGACTGGAGCAGGTATGAGGAAGAATATAATCATGCCGGATGTTTAAACCATATACGAATCTCCTAAGATCCACTCTCAATTATAAGACTCCAAGTCAACCCCAAACCTAAGCTTAATGGCACTAACTACTTGTCACTACTCAAAAGCACAAATCCATAGCTATCAGTCTCCAATTTCCCTAGTCCCTATACCAAGATCCTAATTCTCACCACCCTAGTGCACCAGTCAGCGTCGGCGTCGGCGCAGCGACCATGCCTTCCGGAACTGCATCCACGTCAATCGACGTGTCCTCCGGCTCACCCGTAGGAGTAGGAGCCACAGCAGTGCCATCAACAATAGGCACCATCGTAACAGCCGGGACAAGCCATCTCCGGTCACACTTCTCCCAGTGGGAATCAATCTCAGCCGCCTCTGCCGGCACCTCAATGTACGGCAGGTAATCATCACGAACCATCGTACAGGAGGGATCATAGAGGGGGCACTGTGAGCCACCGCGATACTGAGGCCAGGGGATCAGCGACTGTGTGTAATTGCCGATAGTCTGGGGAAGGAACTCGGCAAAATTAAACGGATATGGAGTCCCTTCGCTGGGGTACCGAGCGTTGCGGTGGTCCCGGAGCGATGTGACGGCAGTGGGATGGACGGAGATCAGCTGGTTGGAATAGCGTTCACCACATATGTGACCATTACGGCGGTTACTCCAGGCGTTGATCGAGGTGAAGGAGATATATATGCTGGGTGAGACGAGGGTGTGATCATCCAGGATGGCGGTGTTAGGGCCATTGCCGGTTGGCGTAGCGGGGATGGTTGTCCCGTTTTGGGCGCACAGGTCTCCGTTGGCCGTTGTCACGGGCCAGTAGAACATTGTCGCTGTGCCTGGGATGAAATGGCATGACGAGCAAGGATCCTCCTCAGGGCGATCTCGAGCGGTGTTGGGACAGTGCACGGGCTGCAGGGGGCTCCTTGTGTCGCCTGGAATCGGGGATGTGACTGATGCTTTGTATTCGCTGGAGAGGCTGCTATATGTTTGCCAGACCCCGATGCATCCTTCTAACTCCGGTCTGCATGTCGGGGATGCCGAGGGCTCTCGGTAGACTGGCGTGACTGTGCTGCTGGACACACTGAACGTGCTGCATGGTCCAGTCCCAGGGAAGTATTCTGTTGCGATTTCTCGTGGTCCGAGAGCCCGGGCAACCCCATCGCATAGGGTTGTCACTGGGCCAGTATGAATATCCGAGTATCTTTCGGGGGTAACGCTCGATCTGCAGGCCCCAGTGCTGGTGGGAGTGTATAATGTCGTCGTTGTGGTCTTGGTCGGGCCAATGCTAGAGAGCCCACTTGACCGCTTATCGTATTGCATCCACTGTGCTGCGCAGATCACATCGGATGCACCGGGTCCAGTGGTTGGACCGTAAAGGTAGTCCGTGGATGTCGGCCAGAAGACGCTGGTGTTCGAGATGACAAGCCACTGGCTGCTGGTGTAGCATGTCGGTTCAGACGGGGGAGTTGATAGGGTGCCCGGCACAGACGAACGCACTGGAGAGCTGATCGATCCAGATGGAGTGTCGCGGGGAATCACTATACTGTCAATTAGTCCCATCATTGAGACTCGTTGAAAGATACTCCGCCATACCAGCATTCCCAAACGCCACTCCCAGCAAAGATAGGACAAGTATCTCGAGGATCATTTTGACCTTGTTGTTATGGAAAAGGTTGACAAGGTTACAATCCGCATTGAAGCTGAGAATTGGGTGAGTAGAATTTATATCCATCAATCCGGTTCCAGTGCACCTCGAATCCTTCCCCGCGACGGCTAGACCTGTCTAAAATCTGACTTCAGGAACAGAGCAAATCCCCTCGAAGTCCTGGACCTAAAATCCTGCAGTGTGGTGTAGTTACTATCGCCATTGGCCCGGATTCAGCTGCAAATTCGGACCATGCGGTGTGATGTGAAAGGTGGGATCTGGTAGGCTGGAATGGATCGTCTGATGCATGAAATGCTACAGTGGAGAATTACATCCCCTAGTCGCTCGTATTCTGTAGAATCTTATTTGCTGACTGCATGTGTAGGTCGAGATGTGGAGCATACTCTTGTCCCCTTTGTATGCCATGTCCACTTTGTATGGGACTGAGTTTGGATTGCCGAAGAGAAGAGAGATGCCCATCACATCTCGCATAGCATTACTATACCAGCAGCCTTTGAGAAGTGGCTCCAACCCGAATAATATGACTAAATACACGTGGAGGGCCGTTGTAGAGCGCATGATCGTGACTGCAGTAATGGGATGTAACGCTGGCTGCAGCCATTGTCAGTTAGAACGCCACTTAACAGCCGAATATGTGCATTCATGACCGACCGAAATCTGACATCTGCAAGACAGTTCATTATATAATAGTAGGTCTAGAATTAGGCAGCTTTCCTTCACATGTTATTGATTGAGGATTTGTCCAGCGTGCTTACAGTCGTTTCTAGAGAGGGTCTGCTGCTGGAAGTGGTAAATGGCTAGGCCAAAATGTAAATAATATAGATAGACAAGACTCAATGATCTGGTTGAGGCAATGCCCATATCAACGGCGAAGTATAAATTCATATGTGAATATATATTATGAATGGTATATCTTATGCTCTAATCCCATATTAGCATGTAAGCAATCAAAACTATCGCATGAAGGTCAGCTTATTACTGAAAGATGTAAACCAAGCGTTTTTCAATCATGTTGCCTTGACTTCTCTAGACCGGTTCACATCACAATTCAAGTTTTTCAACACTTCAAGACTGACCGGTTCCACAAGGAGCTATGTGCTAATCCAACTGTGAACGCCTACTTAAAAAGGCGAAAGGCCTTTTATCTCGAGATCCTCTCTTGCATGAAAACTCTAAGCTCTACCAAGGAGGACCTTGGCGGGTCCTTATGCAGTGCGTTCTTTTAATCTTGTCAGAGACACTTGTATCCGATAGGGTTCATACATATTAGATACGGTGGAGGAAAATCCACTTCTACACGAGATTGCAAGCAGTGGTCCAGATCCAAGCTAGTTGTGGATCACCACAGTATGCACAGGGCAGGTAGAATCGATATTAAGATTAGCCTAAAGTATTCCTGGCTTGCGACAGCAGCTATGTATCAATGCCACACAGCACTTGCTTCGAGTCACTATCGAAACGAAAGAACAAAGACAAACTTTTCTCGAGTGAAACAGCCCCAGCCTCTTATTTGTGGCGACCGAAGACACTACCCTCATGATGTCCAGCCCTTATATTAGGTCCAAAGGCTGATGAGATCTCATGAGGATGTACCTTGACGTTGGATGACATACTGGATATTGCAATCGAAGAAATGGATCCCGGAAAGCCATTAGTATCAACTCTTCAAGTTCCACTCTCAATCGTACAATAGGCCACTAACGAAGAGGCAAACAGAAGTAGGCCTCATGCCACCTATCCCCATCGTGCTATCTCATAGCGCATGAAGTCTATCGTTCTGGTCCAATCAATTACCTCGAGTACCCAATAGGAAGCAGACCGAGCAGCAGTTACGGAGGTGACATCTCAGCTTCTCATATAGCGTACAGGCTATGATGATACTTTGCTCAATGAGGGATTAGGCAATGCTGACATCATTCGTCGCATTCGAATACTTCCTTGGGGTGTGAGACCGCTTAAGCATTATAATTGCTACAGTCTGGTAGAAGAGGGCACGCCCAAGGATGTACATCGCGAAGGCATCGAAGAAGCCATCACTGTGACTGAGAACTATCATGATCCAGGAAAGATTGGCGGTTGGTGGATACATGCTCTACAAGCTTGCAATATCAATAGTCAGGAGGATGGCATGAGCTACCATGATACCTAACACTTTCACAGGTCGTCATAGTATAACCGAAACTTCTACTTATTTGGTAATATTATTTGCAGATGTCAACCAATCAGGCACATGTCCCTGCTTGAATCTCAATGAAAACCTGCGAGTGGCAAGATTGACTCAATTCTAGTGATACATCCCCTGCACTTGGCTTATTGTCCGAACTTTCAGCATATGCATGGAGATGGACCATTCCGCAGGTAGCGATTGGGATGTGGATATCGTGTCTCGACTGTGTCATATACTGCGCAAGGATTTCCCCATTAAGAAAGGAAAGTAGCAACTGGGCCAGGAACGCGATCTGCGTTTGCAAAGTGACCTAAGTAGCCTAAGGAATCAGGATCAAACCGAAGCAGGAAGCTGAACGGCGGCTGCCCCGGCAAGACAAGGCAGTCGGTGATGCAACCTCAAGTGCCCCGTTGTGGGACCGGCCGAGTTCACGGAGAAAAGGAAATCCAATTGGCAGGGCAAATGCCCAGGGGATGAGGCATTTTATTCCTCCCCGAAAGAGCTAACAAGTCCAGCCAGACACAACGTCAGTCTATCGAGCCCAACCTCGATTGGTTAGCACTAGGGGTATCTCCAAAGCATGCAATGATGTATTGATCCAGCCCCTGCCCCAGCTTAAACGGCATCTCTGTGCATTATAACGTTTAAGGCCATCAACCAGTGTGATGCAATCAGCTGAGTCCCCCTCATTGAAGTTTTAGTACATTCCTTGTTGCAGGTAGTGCGGACTCGTTTCCCTTCGCGCACAAATGCTAAAGGACAATCTCGTAGGTCTGCATGCATGTGAGCCTCTAATACATGGGTTGATTCGCAATGGATACAGGACCCGTCTCACATATCCCGTGGATCACTACTAGCCTGGACCAGGTGGGATAGGGTGACGTTAGTGCCTTACACTAATGTATTTTGTCAGGTGGAATCGGATAAAATGTATGTCATTTATGCGTATATAGTTCGTTATGCAGCTAACCTTACTAGACTTTAAGGTGATAGTAGAACGCCCTGATCACCTGTGTACCTGTTCTACCTCTGACGGTCTACAACCTCAATATGGGGGATTTGCACGACCCCTATTAGTACAAAATGCTTTCTCCCAACAGTAGCGAGCTACATAAATTCCTAGCCACTCCCATGACTCGCAATAGGATTAGTATAAGCTCCCCGGATCTCACCGTGCACATCATCTAGCAGCGGAATAATCCGCCAAGTGCCAGGGCTAGAGACAATGTACTCCGCCCTGTCCCCAGTCAGGCACTGTGCTTTGGCAGGCGTGACCTTACCTGCTCCTAGGGAGCCGTATAGCCACCCGAGCGGATCAAACGGTGAGATTCCGGCGTCATATACGCTAATCAGAAAGGTGCAAACTCTGCCGGTGTTCTATTACTATCTCACTCTATTGCCTTAGAGTGTTGGCTAGCTGAATATAGCAACAGGGAGACAGGGATACCATATCACACAGGCCAAAGCAGTATGCAGGGAGCTCTAAATGGCAATATGGAGCGGCAGGTTCAAAATAGCGCAAGGGGGGCCATTTTCCCGTCCCACATTGTGCATCGTCCAGAGGATGTCGTCAGTGAGAGATACATCTAAAGTTCCACATTATTCTCGGCCGTTAGAGGCTGCCGAGAGTTAGATTTGGCTAGACAGCCTCTCCAGGCTCTCCAGGTCCAAGTCTATAAGTGTCACTCGGTGCTGATATGCGCCATTCGCCAAGGCCTGTGGAGTACCCCTATAGCAAGAGATCATCACCGGGCATTTAATGGCGGCTTGCTGAGTGGGTAGGGAGAAGGAAACAGACGTTTTCTCCTAGGCAATACCAGTCATCAAACTTGGGATCACTTATTGTATCCCAAGGGCTTGCAAGTCCTTGAATCACTTGCGCGACGTGAGCCTTCAGGAGGTAGGGGACACCCCCTGCCCATTGCTTCTCTCTCTCCCGACCGAAGTGGGTTGATAAGTGGCTAAAGAAGAGAGCAGGTTATTGGGCGAAGGTTTCGCAGTGATACAACAAGGTTCCAAGTGGGTATAGGTAAATCGCCACCCAGAACTACACATCAATTTACTTCGGACATTGCAAGGCTACCAGTAACGCTACCAACGACTGCCCTATAGTGCGCTCAGATTGGCCACTGGAAAAGACATCCGTGATAGGATATTTCAAATCCCAAGCTCAATGGAGTAGCACCACCCGATCCGGCCTGTCCCTTTTTCTAATGGGTCTAGCCTCTATCGACTAGCAGAGGATTTCCTGTCTAGATCAAGCCTGTATAGCCAATGGCCGTCGGAAAGCAGGCATTCTCGGCTGTCCGCGAGTTTCTTTCGCCAATGAGCATGCAACTATCTGAGGACCTTTCAGGATGCAATCCTATTGGAAGTTCTGTTCAATGGCAGGGAACGCAGGAGATCCGCTATGCGGAGGTGCTTTTCCCATCCTCGCATTATCCTCTCCGATGGGTCCTGGTGGAGAACTCTGTCGGTCTGTCAGGATACTGGCTATATAAATCAATGTGCCGCTTTGTTCACCTGGTGCGCCGTTTCTGAAGGTATCGCAAGTGAGCAGCAAACATGGCAGAGTTCAACCGCTCACAGGTCTTGGGATCTGTGTTTGACACCACCAGCAGGTATATACGTTTGGCCTCAGCACCCTGTCATAAACTCCGGTCTTAACCGTTTGTCTAGGTATATTAACGTACGACCAGTGGGCCTGGGTGCCTTTAGTCTTGTTTGGTATGTCTCCCTTAATATCTCCGTTGCCCCTTTTTCCCCCACTGTTTTGCCTTTTATAAAGATGAAAGCTTAGTGAGGAAAGTAGTTCCGCTTATGACCTGGTCAGGGGCCAAGCAGTGGCGATCAAAAAGCTATTGAACCCCTTTGCCACGCCAGCCAGCGCTAAGCAGACGTACCGGGAGATTAAGCTCTTGAAACAGCTACGACATGAGAACGTACGGACTCTGAAACTGTGAGCTATATTCCAAGCATGCTGACAACTTGAAGCTCATCGGCTTGTGCGATGTTTTTATATCTCCCCGAACAGATGTGTATGTCCAGCTCCAGTCGTCTTAGCTGTACTGCTCGCTAATATTGCTTTTCAGTTACCTGGTAACCGAGCTCCTCTCAACTGACCTCGGCCGCCTCCTGGAAGCTGGACCCCTTGAACCACAATTCGTACAGTATTTCGCGTATCAAATACTGGTGAGAGTTGCTCGCGCTTCGTACCTTCATTCTTACAATTCTGACGAGCCTCAGCGTGGCTTAAAATACCTACATTCGGCCGGCGTAGTTCACCGGGATATCAAACCTAGCAACTTGGTCATCGATGAGAACTGCGACTTGAAAATATGTGATTTCGGTCTCTCCAGGCCGCAAGATCATCGAATGACTGGATATGTCTCGACACGGTATTACCGTGCACCGGAGGTCATGCTTACATGGCAAATGTACGGTGTCGAGATGGATATTTGGAGCGCCGGATGTGTCATTGCAGAGATGCTCAATGGAAAGCCTTTATTCCCCGGGCAAGACCCAATTAACCAGTTCTACTTAATCCTGGACGTGTTGGGAAACCCGTCTGACAAGTTTATCTCGCGGATTTGTACCACGAATGTAGGTACTTCAGGACAATTTGTTGTACACACGGTAGTACTAACATGTACGTTCAGACAGTGGAGATCATCCGGTCACTGGAGCGGAGAGAGCCACGTCCCTTGCAAAGCGTTATTCAGAATCTAGATGATTATTGTAAGTTGCCGATCATGCTCTATACCCTACTACTTTCACTGAGTTGCTGATTGGTATTGGTTCCATAGCCCGGAGTTTGCTCGAGAGAATGCTCACGCTGGACCCACAAGAGAGGATTTCCGCCGAGGAAGCCCTACAACACCCCTATATGAGAATGTATCATGACCCGACCGATGAGCCCATTGCGGAACAAAAGTTCGACTGGATGTTCAACGGCGGTGAATTCGATGAGGAGATGCTAAAAGAAATGATGTACGCCCTTCCTCGTCTCCCCCTGAAAGCTCTTCTACTAACAAGGAAGCTGGTAGATTCATGGAGGTGCTCCACTTTCATCAAAGTGCGTGCCTGGCAATGTCACCGATGGGTCTAGAGGAACCCACTATCCCTCAATTTTCGGAAACTGAGTCATTCCTGAACCCCGACGCCTTCGTCGATTGGACTCCATGTCTGTAACAACTGGTCCTAACGAAATCTGTACTTGTGATAGCGAATGTGGATCTAATTCTCTCCTACTTGTAATGACTGCCTACCCGGTCAACGAGCATCCGCCAGCGATGGAAGCATCATCTGTAAAGGAAATTGACTACGATGGGCAGGGCTAGTGGAGGAATAGATCCATGTATAGAAGAACCAGATTGTAGGCACGTGGTAGTAGTGAGGCAAGCACATTATCCAACCCCAGTAAGTAGTTGCTCATGTCACTCGTGTCTCTTCCGCACTATTGAAAACCGTCTCTAGCGGTGAAATGAAACTGGCCCATTCGCATTTAGGTAAGAGGATTGCCCGTTCCACTTCAGGGGTAGTCCAATGGATTATGCCTAATTACCCTTCGCCTGGAGACCAGGATTCAAGATCCGCCTCGGTAATTATAGTGAGTGTTACTTCTCAGTCCCAAATTGGACATTACGCCAGTGCACTATCACTAAGATGGTATGTAGATAACTGATCATTTACTCCTATTCTCATCGTAGTCGACAGTGTACTTAAGGGGATTAGCAAGCCCACCGTTTTACGTCAGGCCGTCACCGGTGAGGTTGACAGGTATGTTCAACCCATGATTAGTAGAACCTCTTGCCTACTATAGGAGTTACAAGGCCTTTAAACTTGGCTTGAGGCATACTATCACGTAAGCATTGGTGCTATACACTCAGTGTTCACTCCTATTTCCTGCCGTCAAGAAACTTTTGCGTCATAATAAAAGTGCCTACCCACATGCACCTTGGCTCTCAATAAGGCACGGATTCAGGATGTAGTACTTCCAAGCTAAAAGCACAAATATGGCCTCACCAACCTTGACATAACGTAATAGTATAATCAGAAGGACGCTACCAGAGTGACCGTCCTAAAGGGTGTGCTTGGGATTCCATTTTCCTTGAAATCAGCAAAATCCTGCTGATTGCCGAGAGTTTGCCACACTCGATCTGACAGCTGCGCCTACCATCTTGCGTCATGTTATCGTGATATTTTTAACCAGGATGACCTACTACAGTAATCTCTGTAGCGTCAGGTACTACATGGCTGTAGGGCCCACTATGGGTCTTTCGGAGATGTCAATTCCGCGTATGCAGATACCCCCCTGTTGAACGAACGTGCAAATAGCAAGAGAGCTCCGTACACCCCAACATAAACATAATAATCTCTGCAAAGCTAGGTGTGCCATCAGAAACGGCATGAGCCCCAGGGGAAAACATATATGCATACTCACCGCAATCATATACATCTCTAATCTCTCTCACCTTAGCCAGGGGGATCCTATGTCTCACGTAACGCTTCACCGGCAAAACCGTCAGGGGTTCTTCCAAGAATCATTATAGCCATCTATATGTTGCTGATCGGCAGGCCCTACGCAAAAATTTTCCGCATATAACTTTCCGTCTCCGGAAAATTTCCTCGGAATTTGAATACTAAGCCATAAGCGGTTGTGGGTGCTACTCGCCAAGGACTGTGAGTAAGGGACGATATGGTCTTGGCCTCTTTTCTTAATGAGTGTGACGCATCTAGGCGCAGACAAAGCTCTTATTCCTAGTGCCCCTCTAGCTGGATTGACTTAATGACGCCTTTCAACGGGGAATCTCGGTCGTAAGGTCTGGTTTGTGGCCATTTCTTTGTGACCATGATGCTTGTGCGCATTATCCGTCTCGTAATTGTACTCCTCACGATAAAAAAAAAATTATTTCCTGTCCATGATTAGTGCTTACAACATTAATTTTGATTGGCTTAGGCATAATGTTGCTATCTTAACAGGAGACATCATCTCCAAATGGCTTGATTGACCTCCATTTCAAGGCTCTTTTTTTCCCTTTTCCCCCTCACATTCTCATGTCGATTCTCGATTCAGACACTGATATGCAAGTACTAGATACTACTTGTGAACACACCGAAAGCCGGCCTTTGAAACCGGGACTCCTCGTGGTACTGCTACTAATTACTACGCGTGGGGCATACTGGCCCATGTGACTCGGACTATTTATTTAGTTGGATTTAATACTCCGCTCTGTGGATCTGCAATCTACCACACGCTAAACCAACTCGCGCGACGATATATTAGGACCTTGCCTTGGGCGCTCTAGCTCGATCTCCTCTTCCATGGTTCCTGTCTTTGCTTAGCTGCAAGGAACAACGCCTGGACCATATACAGGAACCTGTGCGCTGCAGGGCACAGACTCGGGCAGATCCGTTGCCTCCTAGCGCTGTCTCTCTCCTACGCTTTTGCTGGACATGAGCTTGTTTCTTAAAGTACCGGTTAAGCAACCAAGCACGTGGGTCATAAACGTGATAGACGGGATAACGAGACAACCGACTGCCGGTTGGGTCCTCTATTATAGTTTGCAAGTGTTTGGCTCTGGAGGTATATTTTTTCGGTGTCCATGGACCCTGCTGAAGAAGTCTATTCCCAATGTCGTACTCTTAGTGTTGTCTTCGAACGTCTTTAGGTTCGCTTTAATTTTCATACTGTGAGGGTTTGACGTCGAGTGACGGAGCCCTCCACTGATGGAGCTCCTCTATAGGCTACGATATCCAATGTCTCCAGACTGAAGTTTTCGGCCGCCAGCACTGCCATGAATGCGACAAACGCCATATTTTGATTACAGGGGCAATTTCAGCCTGTAAAAAGTCCTATCAGCAGACATTAGCTAGGCTAGTGGGCTCAGCCAGACACTGTCGTGGAGCTAGAGGGCTCCCTCCGATGTTGGAAGAAGTAGCGGTCAAGGACTCCGTAATTGGTGCAAGATGAGTGGAAGATAGGGGTGTAATTCCCCTACGTAATCGAAATAACACTTGCATCGTGGAAAGCACAGGACAGCTACCTTTGTCACGCGGGGGTTGTCCGACGGGTTTCAAACCTATCCAAGTACTGCCTACTCCGTACTATCCCATATATCCACCGGCGTTTACCATGCTCCCGGATCGTGGGTATAAACCATTGAAACTGGGTTTGCCTGGCTAGATACCTTCCAGATGGGGGATAGTTATATCGATCATTCGACCTGTGCTCGATTTAGGGTTGTCTTATACAATTTCGTACCAGATCGGACCAGGTCGGTATCTCCGAATTCCAGGAACCAGAGCTCCACTGCACACTCCCAGACAGTGTCGATATGGCTGGCCGTTGAAATACCATGCTAGCGGCTCGGCACGTCCTCAACAACCACAACTTTTGCTCAGGGGTTCACTCGATCTCGGTCAAACGTATTTAACTTGCAGATACCCCGTTGTTTAGGGTTGCAGTGAGTCCTGGAAAGCGACCGAGAACCTTAGTTTGCAAGGGAATATCGAGTGATGAGTGATATACTGAGCGCTGCACTACCGAAGGTCCGATGAACCGCCAGACAGGCCATCGATTAACGGTGTCATCGCCGATAAGGAAGGGTTAAGCCCTCCGAGAAATTTCCGAACCCGTAGACGCACTGAATGTAATCATAGAGTAAAAATCTGCCAACTTCTTTTGTTAGAGCAGACTCGGGGTTTGGTGTATGCACACAGCACATGTCCCTTAAGTAGCCCTCGATTGTCTCCCTATGATTAAAGTCAGCCTTAGTACCAAAGATCATCTTAACTGAACCTTACTGATTAATATCACATTTGCTCTAATTTTATAAAATTGATTCCTTTGCTCCTGTGTTCGACTCTGAAAACTGAATCAAAATCCCTCCTAGCACCTACCCCCACTACGGTCCCTTGGCTCATGTACATACTTAGACAAGTCATAAATATACAATAAGCTCTCTCTAAGCAACAAGAAGTATGAAGTTAGCATATATGTTCTGATATATCTCCCCTGTAGAACTCCTCAAGGCTCAGGCTCTATATGATTCACGGAAACACGGTATTCCACAAACAGTTCTCTTCACAGAACGAATGATCTTGTGTCTCTTGAACAAATGCTCTGGTATCAATCAACGCCAGATTATGTGTCTACACTTTTCTCTTCTGCATCCGTCCTCGTGGGAAGGCCTGAGCACAACTGTGTGTCTGGAACCATGCGTCGATCGCTCTATTACGGAAACTACGTCAAATACCTACACGATGCGGTCATCTATCATCTTCTTGCTCGTAGTATTTTCCTTGAAGCATTAGTGCTGAGCCCTGTCAACAGACTTCCTACGTGAAACCATAGTTTACGTCTCCACTCTTCCATCGCATTTCTGATTCAAGTAAATAGCGGTTTTTAGTGCAGACATGACATCAGCTACATGTACCTCTGATACCCAATGAGGTACTCTCTCGACTATGAGTACTAGTAAAGTCTCTTCATTTAGTAACATCTATTCCTAGTACAACCTCCCCAAGCGTCGCTCTATGGCCAACACTTAAGTTTATCCAGTAACATCTGGCCGCGAAGCTCATGGCAGCTTGGCAGCCATTGATCAGCACATAATCTCGTGGGATCAGTCTCAAGCAATGTCGTCAGTGCGTCACCGTTGGCCTGTGTGCGCCTCGGTGTCTGCGTACTATCCGTAGGTGGGGCTGATCGATAGTGACATCATTAATCTTGATGTGCTTCATCTTATGTACCTTTTCTTAGGCGACATGCAATGCACGTCGCTCTCTGAAGTCCCTGCATAGTGCGAATCCACCGAGCCTCTAGCTCCCTGGGAGTTCATGGATTGGGTGATCCCAGTGGCCGAGCCCGCCCGACTGCTTCACTACTGCACAACCGGTCCATTCACGAGAGCAGATCCCCACGGGTGGATAAAGAACTGGGTCTGTACGGTTCTTACGGTGGTAAGCGGATGAGCGACGGCCATTGCACCGTTGGCATCGTAGTTGGTTCATATTGTATTCTTGACGCGTTGCTTTAACCGACGGTTGCGTCTCGCTTCCTGAAGATTGAATACTTCGAACGTACATCCCAGGGCGTGGCTTTTGTTGTTCAGACACATGATGCTGCTTGCTGCTCCTCTGGTCGGCGTCATCCTGGTATCGGGCAGAAGCCCTTGTCACCGTTTTTGATCTAGACAGGGGAACTTGACGTCAGCATGTAGAATTAGAATTGCAAAATAAAGGTGGCTTGCCTGTGAGATATCCACAGCCACGTGCCATGAGTCCAATGCATAGCTGCAGAGGGATACGCAGTTCACTCGGGATGCAAGGATAGAAACTGGAGGCCCTGGCGTTGGCAAGATCGTTATCAGATTTCCTGTGGCCAATAGGGGGGTTATAAGTGTGCATGAATGGCCCTTTCTCCTGTTCCTGAAGGAGGTATACCTATTGGTGGCTCGCCTTAAACCTGAATGCTCACCTGTAAAAGCAACATCCACTCTATAAATGTCTCGACGCTTTGAATATCACATGAACACCCAGCAATGACGTCGACCCCTTCATTGCGTGTATATCTACTAGACTAGCCTTTCTCAAAGCCCGTACGATACTAGTACTCCCGTTTGAAGAAGCAGTCGTCGATCCGAGCCGGACCCTGGTTAGTATGATGCAAGTTTTCCTGGCACAAAGGTCTAGACCAGCAACTGAATAAATACTATCTACTGGATAATGAGTCTAGGCAGTTCTGCAAGGCACTCTCACGATACTGCATTAGCAGTGTCGTCTTAGATCTAATCTACGCCAAGTGGGTTTCAATAGTGTCGTCGACCGTTTTATGTCATACTTCCCCATGTACGTCATAGCCACTCAACTATAAAAATTCATCCAGCAAATGCATTTCTACATTATTAATCCTTTCCCCACTTACAGGCAAATGTACCCCGAGGTTTTCTCGACTAGAGCTAACATTACCCTACGTGGGGTGTTCGCTTCCGCCCAAATCCCCGCTTTAGGAGCCGAGTGGAGATGACTCTGTGGTGATACTATTAAGTGGGTATGTTCATGCTGGCGTCCAAAAGGGTACTATTATGGATAGTCAGGCGAACTGGCTGTCTACGCCCCACTAGTCTGTCAGGAGATAGTTTCCGAAGCAGTTGACATCAGGTTCTAGACCTAGTGAAGCTTTTGTTCAACCAAGTCAAGTCAAGATATGAAGCACATGAACCGTGGTACACTTCGAGGCTAGGATTGAAGAAGGACTGAGGTACTATGAACCTCCTTAGCGTACTAATGAGAAGTCACTAGCTATGATTCTCATTGAAAGTACTGTGGGTCTAAGAGCTCTTGAGAAGATATGTCAAGCGTGCTGCCACTTGACCAAAATACCTTTAGGCATTTGGTGCCTCCAACCAAACTCTGGCCAGCAAGATATGACGTGATTGTTCAATGATGGAATACAACATATGTCATTCCTAGATTATAAATTGGACTGTATAGCAAGGGTAGTGCAAATAGTCATTCAGCAGTACCTGGCCCAAATGGAAAGGATATACTAAGTTGAAACATCCATATAGAACAGACCTTATCCTACAAATATTGCTTTCCCGTCTGGCAATCATAGTTTTCAAATAATGCATTGCAGTGTGATCCTTCTAGCTCAATGGAATCAGCATACGGATCCTGTTCTTTCAATACATCCAAGCACAGCACTATCCGCACTGCTCCTATCTCGAAGTCTTTCATCGGGAAGCTCGTGACACTATGTCTAGTATTACGTCTTCAACTAGTTTCTAGTTCTTGATGTCATTTCCCTCTCGGTGGCTCCGTGTTACAATTCGTCCCTTACATCATGTGCATATCCTTTACTATTCTCCAGAAGCTGGGCTAGACTTTCTGAGTGATATCATTGTGGGTAGCATGAGCTATCTCTATAGGTACCATGTCTGGGATTCCAGTTCTATAACCACCTTGATCAATGGTCTATCTTCATTGATACATCTCCCGTCATGGACGCAAGGACCTAGCGTTTTAGAGATGAGTATCATTGTGATGACATGTTGCATATCCCAGTGATCTAGACCGTTCAAGGGATCCAATTGATCGATCACTCATCAAGATACTCTTAACCTGTGTGTTTCTAGCTTTCTATCTACGTACCATCTCGCAATGTACATGTAATACACTGGCGTGCCCATGGACTAGATATGGTCAGTATGGGAGACAGTGACAATGCAAATGATCGCGGAGGGAAGACATTAGGAGCGACTTGCATGCTCGGATCGCATGGGATGATATCATAGAGATGGACAAAGCTGGGACGGGCTTGTATTCGCTTTCACCCATTTCTTGTGGCGTGTTTAACTAGAGGTTGAAGTGATACTAGCGAGGTTGCTACACTTATGCTGGGGTTTATGGCTCATGCATTGGCTGTGAAGCATCCTCAAGCCTTATGGTAACCAAGGAAGCATGGTATGGACGAGATATTCTTACCGCCGATGATGGTAATTTCTCTATCGGATGCCCAGGGGAGTCGTAATCCTTACTATACTGAATTACGACAATGTTCTTATTGGAAATGTCAACACGCCAATGCCTTCGCTGTGCGTATATCCCTCTATAACAATAATCTATCTGCCATCATACAAGGAGAAATCGATATATGGAGAGATCATTCTTCACACCTACTTTCTTGAGCAAACCAGTCATAGTGCTTCTCACCTAATATCTACATCGTTCAGGACTCGACATGCTATACCTGGGCTATCCGTCTAGGGTCATTACTCAGCGCTTTAAGTCTCTCCCAGCTCACCTTGTATCACATGGCACTCATAGTGATTGAAGCGAGCCACAAGCGAATTGACCAGTAGACTTAATTAACCGACTTCAGGTGTAACACACAGAGCACAACAGCATCATCCATATAGACTCCCCTCCAAGAATGTTGTTGGACGGTCACCAATGTATTAGATGTCAGCGCCAGATGAGGATATGGTCACATCTGTCAATGATTGTTGTTTTAGGGCAATCGAGGCAGCTTTGTGGGTTGTATAGTACCTGATGCACTGCTCTTAGAGAGGAAACTCGCCTCCATAGACGCTCTTCTTTGATTCCCGACATTCGACGTCAGATAATATATATATATATAACTATATGGGAACTTGATACCGGGAGGAGGAATGGAATGACACGCCAGCCAAGGTTCACTTGCCCGTCACCGGTGCCAACATATATCTTTATATCTCATTCCTAACGGCCTTAACCGCAACATATCGAGTGAGTATTTTCAGTAAGCTGACGAGGCACTGTAAAAATGACACTTTCTAAATCAACATGTCAGACATCAGATTCAAATTGTCACCACAGCCCACTATCTTCCACCGTTGTCCTATCGATACTCCAGGCCACAGGCTAAATCAGACACATGTGAGACTTCGTAATTGTGTCTAATATCAAACCATACTAATTAACCATTCTTAGTCTGACAGCATGCCCACACCAAATCCTACCACAAACAACGCCACCCAAAACCCACATAAGAAACAGACAGCCACAGACCCCATTCACACGAATCCCACCTCAGCAAGCCTACCTAGTTCACACTTCAGCTCACCACGTCCTCACCGAACCAGCGCAGCAGACTCCGATCCTGTCTCTCAGCCGTACATGCAGACGATGACAGTCTATCAGCCGTGCTCGGTGAGAAAAGCTGGCAACGATGGCCCATCTCGCTCTGAGTAGAACTTCGCCGACAAGGATTCGGGTTTCTCAGCTGAGGACGGATGGAGTTTACCTCCGTGATTAGGTTGCATTCTTCTGCAGAACCCACTGCAGCTAATCGTGTGTTGCATCCACAGCTGAATGCTGCCAAATTAAAGTGGGCTGGGGGGACATCTCCAATCCAGGGAAGTTCCTTGTCCATAGAAGACTGTATTATAGGGACCTACATGGGACCACTTGCGTTGAGCCTGGTCGGCTCGGGATAAACACGAAAGGACAAAGTAGTCATACACGCAGACGACTAGGCAATGGCCCATACAAAAAGCAAATAAAAAAATCTCCAGCCACCAAAAAAAAAAAAAAAAAAAAAAAAAAAAAAAAACCCCCAGCTGAACAACAAAGAACGCTCAGAAAAAGCAACACCAAGCCGAATAAGACCGCCGCGATGCCTCGACTAAGACTCTAGCCTTGCCGTGCCGCTCCGTTCCGACCTCCACAAACTATTGGCTTGGCTGTAGGCCGATCGCACTCCGAGAGGCCGGAGCTCCTGCAGAGTACCGCTTCCTTTGGCCTGGGCGTCGGCTATTCCCCTTGCTGATAGGTTCCATGCGCAATCACTGCAAGATACGGCTGCTGCTACTACTACTGCTGCTGCTGCTGCCTGCAGGGCTGGTGTGCTTGGCCGACGACATTTGGAATTTCTTTGCAGACTAGTGAGGGGTTCTTTTTTCAGCTGTTTTACAGTAACTTCTTTGATTGTGAAGATAAAAAAAAAAAAGAAAGAAAGAAAGAAAGAAACACGACCAAAAAATAGAAAAAAAAAAAAAAAAAAAAAAAAAAAAAGTCTTGGAATAAATAGTTTTACCTAAAACAAGAAGTGGAGACGACAACTGATTTATATGGCGATTAAGGTTTTTGGTACGATGCAATTTTTGGTATATTAGCAATATTAAGTATTTACGTCTGGCTCAGCTCCACATCAGAAACCTTATACAGAACAAATAGAGGTATCTCATCCACATTGTGTAGGAGAGTCACAAAGACAAATATAGGTTAGCGGAAGGGCAATCCAGGTCCCTTGCAGGCATCGGCGTGGATGAAGTACCACACATGCGAGTGGAAGGCCAGGAGATCAGGCAGTCCGCCGCTGGTGCCGGTGTTTCCGTTGAAGTTAACGTATCCATCGAGAACGGTGACTTCATTTTCGGTGACAGTAGTGTTGTCCGGAGCGTGGATGTAGTATTCAGGGCTGATATGCACGTAGCCCATAGTCAAGAGGGGCAGCTTGGGAACGGGGTCGTCGTTGTGGGTGAAACGGTAGTTGTTGCCCTGGTTGGTGATGAACTCGGCGAGCGCCCGGTTGGCCACCCGTGGCGCAGCGTAGGCGTACAGAATAGCGTCGTGGCCCTTGGTGCGCAGGTCCGCAGCGGCGAGCGAGGCGATGGCGGCACCGAGACTGTGGCCCACGACAACGAGCTTGTAGTCGCTGTGCTCAGGCTTCAGCTCGTCCAGGGTCTTGATGATGCGGTCCCGGACGACCTTCCAGGCGGTCCAGAAGCCCAGTTCGGCCTTGCAGCCGTCACAAAGTCCGGGGTCGGTGTAGGGGAAGGTTGCGTCGGTGACCCAGTTGCGGATGGAGTAGGAACCACGGAAAGCGACGACGATGGCCTTGTTGGTGTTGTCTACGGCCACGAAACCGGCAGTGTCGGTGATGGTGTCGCTGTTAGGGTTGTTAGTTGGCGGTCACGGTCCTGGGGACTCTGGCTGGCTTACTCGGAGAAGCTGAGCTTGATGGTGGTATCAGCCGCCTCGACATCGGGGCAGTTGCCCACGGAGCAGGTTGGCTTGTCGCCGTCTTTGGCAACATAGTTATTGGGGCAGTAGGTGGCAGCCGCATATTCCACCCAGAACTTGAAGTCATCGAGCTGGTTGGTAGGGATGTCTAAACAATGAGTCGGTGTCCGTCTAGCAGGTCATGAAGGAGATTTCGTACCTCGAATATCAATTGTCGCTGGGTAAGCGTAACCCATCAGGGCCACCGAGGACAGAACAGAAACCACGCCGGTGAGGAAACGCATCTTGGTCAGTGTGCTTTGCAGGGACTACTCAATGGATCGAGACAATGCAATTGCGAGGCTGGACTGAAGAACAGCGTGGACAGTGGAACCGGCGCCCCTTAAATAGTTCTATTCTGTATGCTACTATACAGACGTCTCCAAAATCAATACCCCCATCCGACCATCGGGCTGTCCACGGTTCCGCTGAAAAAATGTGAGACATGGTATGCGCGATCTCAATAGTCTACCATCGACACTCTTGGCCGGATCGAGCTGAATTGGTCCCGTTGACAGTCCCCATCCACGAGGATCCACAGCTTAAGCTGACGAAGAACCCCACGAAATCAGCCTCGGTAATGTTCACAAAGGATGCTGATCCAACGAGGACGGGCGTTCTTGCAAGGCTTGTACGTCTTGTCTTGTCAATTTTGCCGCTTACGGGTTAACTTCTCCCCTGCATACCAGGTGGTGGGAGACACCACATACCAACTGTCAACGCATAAGCATAAATGGAAAACAGCCACAGAAAAAGAAACAGAAAAAGAAAAAAGGTACCATGACTGACGATCCAGCGAAACGGCTGAATCACATGTAGCACCACATGGCCCAATGTGACCCTTGGGAGCGAAATGCAGGGTCGCCCCACTCGTTTCCCGCCCTAAACTGAAGCTTTTTTGCGATGAAGATCCGCCTCGGAGTCTCCGGTTACGAACTGACTGCAATTCTTCTTCTTTCTTAACACAATCCTGCACCAATAACACCCCTGCCCGCTGTCGATCTCTGCTCTGTTTGATTATTCTCAAGCGGAAATTAAGTCTACTCCGTGAACGGTTCTGTTCTCGTGACCATGTTCGGCTTTCCTTCCCTCAGGGCCAGCGGAAGAACAGAATCGTTGTGATTCGACATGGATACAAATCCGTTGAATCCTTCCAAACCAGCTGAATAACAGAAACCCAATCATATGCAAATATGGAGTATATCACCCTAGAATCGTCGAGAATTCCACTTATTCTACGCCCGTTTTACCCCCACGGCTGGTGCCAACCGACTCCTCTGGCGGAGTCGAGGGCCGAATACGAGGAAAAGCACCGGGATCGGAATCATCACGACGGCGATACAACCAAGTAAAGTGCCTGCCCATTGAATACCCAGGTTATTGAACATCTGTCGCGTGAAAAGTGGGAAACACGCTCCCACCATGGATCGCATCATAGTGTTAGCCGCGAACGCCGATGCCGCACTGAAAAAAAAAGAAAAGGAAACAGAATCCGTTAGCACAAGAATATTAATGTGCTGAGCAACATGCCACCTACAAATTCAGGTACGAATCCAGGAGGTAATTGAACCCCTGCATGAATATCGACGTGATGCCGAAGCCGACCATCACACCGGCCGCCGTGGGAGCCATCCAATGAATCGAGGGACTCCAACCGGTCCATCCAAACCTATTACATACTGTCAACTACATGTCTCGGCCAAGCGTATATGGCCAAGCATATGGCCAGATATATGGCATGATCGAGTCCAGAGGAAGCTCACTCACCAGAAGAGCCCTCCCGCGAACGCAACACCACCCACGATGCAAGGGGGCAATCGCCACTCAGGGACAGGCACATTACTATTAGCCTCCAACTTCCGCGAGTACGACTTCTGAAGCGAGAGAACGAAACTACTGCCCGAGATTTCGCCAATAATCAATCCGATAAATGGCAATCCGCTCACACCACCGGTCATGCCATAGGTGCCTTGGAAGACAATCGGGTAGGCCGACAGCAGCGCATAGGCCAGTCCATAAATGAAGGACATATACAACGTCAGAAGGAAGGCGATGGGCTCGGTGAACAAGATCAGAAAGGGCCGCGCCAGGTTTTTAGTCACCAGCTCGCGGAACTCGATCTCCTGTTCATCCTGCCGCGCATGAATCCCCCAGTTCCTGGTTTGACGACGCAGGATGGCCGCTTTTTGCATTAACACGACAGGCGCGTACGTTTCCTGTGCGAACAGCGCCATTAGGATCAAGCTGAAGAACCCGACAAAGGCTGGTATATAGAGCGTCCACCGCCAACCTAAGTAGCTCTCTGCTGTGAACCCACCGATAAATGGCGCGGTAAAAGGCCCGGTAAACACCGACATCGTATACACGGCGATCGCAACCCCTCGATGTTGGTTATTGAACAGATCCGACAGACTGGCCGGGACAAGAGCGATGACACTAGCGGCGCAGAATCCCGCGAAGAAGCGTGTCAACATGATAGTTTGCGTGTCTTTCGCCGTCGCGCAGGCGATCGTGAAGATATCGAATCCGAACATGCCAACTAACAAGGGCCCTCGTCGCCCGATCAACTCAGACGCCGGCGCCCATATCGTCGGTCCGGCAGAAAACCCCAGCACATATAGCGTGGTACCCAGCGCAGCGACTTCTTTCCCGAATCCGAACTCCTTCATAACACCCTCCGAGGCCGTGGCGAAGATAGCACTGACATACGCCGTGACAAGTGCACAGAACGTCAGGAGCGACCCTATAAGAACACTATTATGGGATTAGTGCTGGTGCCTTGGCCACATCGCGATCAAAGTGCAGCATACCGCCTTCTCATAGGCCAATTCTGGGGATGCATGGGGTCGTCCGAGCCTTCGAACTCGACCACATATTCCGCGTCCGGGAGGGGAGGGGGATAGTCTTTTCCTGCTCCCATGGGCAGCCATTGCTCTCGAGGAATGCGACTTCGATTCGATCCAACGGTAAGTTGCTGCTGTAGGCGAAATGTGTTGATGCGCTCAAGCTCGACGCTATCATGGAGGGTACTAGGACGGCGCTGTGACTCGAGATCGACCGTTCGAGGCGGCAGGGGAGCCAGATACCCCCCAGAGGTGGAGCTGACCGTCTCCTTCGAGGCCTTTTCCACAAGGTCGTGAGTCATGATCCCGATCCCTGAAATCCCTACGCGGTAGGTCTCACGAGCTTTCACGTAGTCTACACAGGTATGAAGCGACAGCTGAAAGGTTTTAACTACGACGAAGAGGCAGCCTCGCTATCTCTTTTTCTTATGTCTTCGAAGAGAGACTACAGTGGGTCTAAAATTCAAGCCCGAATCATCGGTGTGACTTGCCGTAGTGTAAGCGCATCATCCAGAGTTGGGGTTCTACCAATCTTGCAAGTGCCAGCACCCATGGGGTCGGCCGACTTAACATGTAGATTTAAGAACTTGTCGAACAAGAGTTTTCCCCTCGGCGAATCAGCACGCCGGGATGCTGACCCAGCATGGACGTAATTCCGCGGTTATCACGTCTTTTCGGGACTAAGAAATTAGCGGTGGACACCTTCATCCCGAGGTTGGGTCCGTTTGCCCGGTTAGTCGGCATGGCGCGTCCTTTTCGGGGTGCCAAATGGGCCCCGATATCGAATCAGCTCCCTCACGGGGATCTCGATATATGGAGGACATACAGGTATATATGCGTACCCCAGTCGTAGTATTCCTTCTTTCTTCCCCGAAGGAGCACCGGCCATGATAGTTATAGCCATCGCTAAGAAGGGGTTATTTCGAAATGAGAAGCCATGCTTGTGATGCCCTGTTTACCTAGCAGGCATACCTCTGCCGATCCCATGTTTTTAGGGCTTACTCTCGGTCCGTCGCACGGCTGCGGTTCTTGGCACCCGGTTCCCTGGGCTATCGGCTTGAACATGCATCAAGCATTTGGGCTATTGAGTTTGAACCACGTTTAGACTGTTAGTTTGGGCAATGATCGGATGGGTAGGTTCAAATGGAAGAGAAAGACAACGTTCATGGCTTTCAAACGGCGAAGGCTATCTAAACTGAGTAGCTCGTGTCCATCAGACATCCGACCCCGAAGCCCTATCCTACCATTCAAAACCAGAACCTTTTATATGAGCATTCATAATCAGATACTACATTCACTCCCTACCCCAAATCACGTCGTATGAGCCAAGAGAGACCACGGAATTGAATCCGCGGTGGAAGCAGCCAGGGACTGTGCCTGACGCAAGAGACCCACAATATTGTTTTCGCCTGGTTGTTTTGTGGCCCGTCGATAACGAACGATAACGGCCCTCGGATAATTATACATTACACCTTCATCACACTTCCACGAGGCACCGCTTCCCCTTCGGAAACATTAGGAAGAACAGCATCTGTTCCATGTCGTTATCGTTGAAATCGTACTTGCTAGAAATCTTGGCATTGGGGAAGTAGCGAAAGAAGTAGCCGGTTGCGAGTCGCAGCTCCATCTTGGCGAGATGTAGTCCAATACAGTCTGCATTGTGAATGTGAGTGGTGTGGCCATTAGAGCTTGAAGAGTATAGAAACTTACTGCGAGATCCAGCCCCGAATGGCATGAATGCGTCTTTCATGAGCTTTGTAGGTGAGGCCCACCGGGACGGATCGAATCTGATTAGTGATCAGCAATGCAGGGTGATCCGCTTCTTGTGATACTTACTTCTCCGGATCAGGGTAAGCAACCGGATCACGATGCAAACTATACAGCTGGGTGCCCACAGTAGAACCCCCAGGTATCCAGTGACCTCCCATTGTCGTTCCCTTTGGTGGCACACTACGTGGCAAGGCTGAAGGAACAGCCGGGTAGAGACGGAGAGCCTCGTTGATTACCTGGTTCAAGTAGGGCAGTGGCCGCAGGTCCTCGTCCGTAAAGTCATCTCGAATCTCTGCCAGTTCGTCGACCAACTTCTGTTTAATCTGAGGGTCCCGGCAAGCAGCCCAGACCAGGTAGGTCAGAGTGTTGGCAGTGGTATCGCTACCGGCCACGATAAAACTTTGCGCATCGTCTCGGATTTCATTATCTGGCAGACCTTCCTCGCCCGCATTGTACAACTTGGTGAAGACAGTCGGTTTTGGGTCGTTCGGGTTCTCAGCCAAGAGACGTTTGTACCGATTGATAGATTCCGTTGCATATCCGAACACACGGTCTCCGCTTTCGTTGACCTCCTTGATGATGGGAAAAGGGAGTAGCGTCGCCAGCTTGACGAGGATAGGGAAACTTGCACGAATACCACCAATCATCGAAGTCATCTCGATGTCTTTCACATATTGGTTTTTCTGCGGTGCATTAGCTAAACAGCATCCGGGCGAAGCAACGAGTCACCAACCTTTCCCTTTTCCAACATGCGGAAGGATTCTCCAAAGGTAATTTCTCCAATGACATCCGTAGCCATGAAAAACCACCATTTATAGACGTCCGCCACGCCACGAGTCTTCATCTCTTCTTGCATTTTCTGGATCGTCAGGCGTACTCGAGACTGGATCAGTGGCTCCATCGACTTGAGTGACAGTTCAGACATAGGAGATGAGAGGAGTCGACGATGGGCATTGTGGTACTTGGGGTCGGTGGTGGTGAAGATACTCTGTGTATCCTTGCGGTTCAACAGGGAATACCAAGGGGATTTTAGGAAACCACTTCCGATGCGATGGATTTCGCGTGCGCCGCTGATGTCAGAAACATCGACTTCGTCGGGTCCAATTCGCACAACGGGGCCTGTACGCATCATTAGCCAAGTTTACCTATCTTTTGAATGTGCGACGAACCATATTTTTCATGCAGAGCGTGGACATATCGGGGCCGCTGGCCGGTGACGACTTTGTATCGGAGAAGGAGGTCGGTAAACTTGGTATACCAAGGACCGGGTAAGTAGCTTAGGTGACTTTTCTGCGACCGGTATACGACCTATGATGCGAATCAGCCGGAGCTGTGATGCAATAGAGGCCGTGAGCTACCTACCGAGAGAACGTATACCAACACAGCGATCGACGCGATGGCGGGGATATTCTCGCGAATAAACCCGGAATCCATGTTGTTTGTTGATACTGACAATCCCTAGGAATATTACCTCTAATAGATGCAAGTCATGAATCTCTAGGCTACACCCTAGACTTCATGAAGTTGAAGATTAGAAGTGCCGATAGGGTTGGCGTCAGGTTTTAATAGAACCTGTGACGTTATATGCAACGTCGGACAGTTGACACCTGGCTATAACACCCGAGCTTCTCCACGTCTCACGTCGGACATGGGCAACAGGTGCAAGATAAGTGAGCCTCTGCCAGTGAGAAAGAGATGGGCCTGAGTCGACGAATGCGTGGCCTCATCAAGGGATGCCGCTTCTGGAAGGACATCCCTTGATACCCACTCCGCAAACAACATGGCAGAGCCAATTCAACCAATAATAGTACTATTAAAATAAAACGAAGTAATCAAAATATGTGAATATAATCCTATTAATTCGTTTCTTCCGATTGCAGCGTGGGTGCATCTTTTACGTCCTTGTCAGCAATCAATGCTCCCATGTACATGCTACCAAGTTAACCACCCATTGATATGCACAGCCAGCCACCAACTCCCCTTCCATTCATTTATCAATATCATGCGCCAATAGCAGGCACCGTGTCAATTTTCCGTGAAGTCTAGGTCAATGAAAAGGCGTCGCTTAAACTTGGTTCTCCTGGAGCGAATGCAACATCACAAATTGGAACTGAAGTTGTACTCGTAACCGAATACCACCTTCCTCCATAAGCAGGAGATCACGTCAAGATGCCTATCATCGATATGATTTAAGATGTCTGGATAGCGAATACATCGAAAACTTGAAGAATGAAGAATGATTAGATGTTCAATTTCGGCCGGAATGCCTCCCAATGAACTATATAACCTTTTGTAAAAGTAGTAAGTAGGGCTTACATTATATGGTTATCTAGGAATCCAGTACTCACCTGTTAGGCCTAACGTGACAATAACACTGAAATGTTTAAGATACTTTTGAGATATCCAGGCACCTTCACAAAATAACTCTATAACCCTCGTTGCATGTTATATAGGATTCAGTATTAATGGCAGTCCAAACGGAAAAGTTTTCCCGTAGGTGTGTCGCATTCCGCAAAGGACGGAAACGGCTTCAAGAATCTGGACATCATTTGCCTGTTCTGGTATGGTATGCATCGAGTCATGTCATAACCTGAATATGGTCGAAACACCAGATAGGCGAGGTTCTAGCCACACCTTTGGCATTTTCGTGTGTACATCATTCTTCCGTAGGCTAGGAGTATTCCATATAAGTTGGATTATCGCATCACATAAGCCTATCTGTGTATGTTTGGATTGGTGATCAATCATTCTGGAGACATGTGTATCAGAGCCCCAGTGGGGCCTAAAATAACTAACGTCAATATAGTTATACTGACTAAACTATCTTCAGGAATCAAGCAGGAGGTCTTCCTTTGACTTTGATATAGAAATCTTGATTTACCTGTACGCCAGCGGGGTATAACATGATTAGGGTTGGAGTAATTAGTTGGAGAAACGCATGATGTTCACGGAGTGCATGGCTTCATCTCTCCAACACCAAAGCTAGCGATGTAATACTCCACTCACTACTGCTGTAGATTGGAGCACACTAACTCTATCTTACTGCCTGCTCACTGCATCCTTTTGTGAACTTCCCCCACACGAAAATGTCTCCGTCCATTCCCGAGACAATGTGGGCAGCCCAAATCACCGAAGTATGCGTTTCCATCATCATATCAACAACCACTACCTAACGCCCTTCAGTTCAACACACCGTACACCATTTCAACGGTCAATATTCCCCAGCTCCGTCCCAATGAGCTCCTTGTCAAATACACGCCGCAGATTCTGTCATTCGGATATCCATGTGCTGCGTGGAGAACTCGACAGCCCGCTGCCCTTGATCCCATCCCACGAGCCGGTAGGCACAGTTGTGCAGGTAGGGGAGGAATCCGCCTCGAAATGGAAAGACGGCGATCGGGTGGGTATCTTGAGGTTCAAAAATGCATGCGACACCTGTGCTGGATACAGAAGGTCTCGTAAGAGATATGGAACGCTGGATCCGCGATTTTGTGATCACAGGGAGACAGGCGGCATCAAGAATGATGGCTGTTTTGCCACGTATATGGTTGCCGACTCAGCGACAACAATCGCTCTTCCTGACTCTGTGTCCTTTGAACAAGGGGCACCACTTTTATGTGCGGGGGTACGTCGCAATTCCGCATATTCCACTGGAAAAGAGCCAGAGCTAAGATTTAGGCCACCGTTTGGGGAGCGATCAACAAGGCGCGGCCATTTCTCCAAGCAGGTGATATGATCGGTGTGATTGGGATCGGGGCTCGGGCAGCTGGGTGTCCAGTTTGCTAAAGCTCTGGGATACCGAACAGTGGCGATTGATAACTGAGATGCTAGTATACAGCTTACGGACGACATGACATGCCCACGGAGCTTCAGCCGGATCATTTAATAACCTCTACGCATGACGATGCATGCGAGAAGATTCTGGAGCGAACTGGGGGTGAAGGCCTGGCCGCAGTCATCAATTGCACAGATTCGATTGCCGTCAACGCCTGGAGCTTGTGATTACTGAGCATTGGCGGCGTAGTGGTCCTTCTTGGTCTGCCACCAGAACCGTGGAGATTTGATACTCATCCCATTGTTTTTCGTCAGTTGGTTCTACGAGGAAGTTACGTTGCTAGTCGAGAAGAGGTGGAGGAGATGATGGCGGTGGTAGATCAACATGGAGTTCGGTCTCAGTTGAAAGTGGTGAAGAAAGATGATATCCTGCAGGTCCCCGAGATGTATTTATCCAGATCGTTTCGCGGGTGCTTAGTTGTGAGGTTTGATTAATGCGCTGTTGTTTATTCCAAGGGCTGGGACTAGAATAATTAATCTTATACAGTATAGTGTAGGAAAGGATAGCCATTATGAATACCTAAGGTCTCTGTCAAGTGATGGATAATACTTCACTAGTCATGGTGAGATTTCCAGGAATCCTCGACCATATCCAGAATATCTAGTAGAGCTCTTTCCATAGTACTATAATACATACCTACTAGGGGGCTCAATTCGATATTGGGATTCGCGGCCTTAATTAAAAATATATAAGTGGAACAACCAATCCATGTTTCAGTGGCAATGGACTATTGCATATAGTTCAATGCGATCTGACCTTCTGGCAAAAGCAATCCAATCGATATAATGGCAATCTCATCGTATTCGGGAAATTCGATCGTGAATAGGCCGACAATTCACTAGTTAATGGTGGGTATTTTCCACTCAGTGGGTTCATTTCCAGCCAAGAAAAACTGGCAACGCAGATACAAGCTAGGAAGGACTGTAAATGTATTATCCTTGGGGGGCCGAATGGATAGATTACCATACGGTACGGTCAGTGCCCAAACAATACATTTTGGGAACAGCTGTTCTGCACAGTAATCCTGGGTCAGGTGTTTTTCTTTTGTCTCTTTCTTTCTTCTACTAAAGTATTTCCTCATCTTCTTAGTCTCTCTCTTCCTTCACTTCTCTTCTCCTGTTCATGACGATCCTTCTGTGTCTTTCTTTCTGTGTGTGGGTATGATTCTTTCGCTTATACATTCACATCCAGAGTTACCCATCTGTTCTAATTTCGTTTTCTCCAGAGAAATGTGGGGATGGGTCAGGCTCGGAACCATCTGAGTGGATGAAATGGGTCTTGAGCCTCAGCCTTTCCTTCCGTCCATCACAATAATCAGGCTGACGAGTCTGACAACAAACACCACACCAGCGACACTCCTCTTCTCTTCTTCCTCCCATTTGCAACCCCTGTTGTTTGTTTTTCTAACCTCCCCCCTGATCGACTGCACCGGCTGACCCCTACTTCGCTCGTTTCAGCCTGCCCTCATCGCTGCCTTGGCAATTTCCCCACTGCCCCCGGGGTCTTAGTCCCTGACGCCAACAGAGCCTCTGTCGCTACGAACACCCCTCCTCCTTACGTCTCTCGTTTTCCCCTATTCAGCTTCCCTTCCGGGCCCGTCTCGTGCGGATCACACGATGGCTCACTACCAAAATGGCCAGCCACCATACGGACAATCTGGAAATTCCGCACAGCCTTCCCGCTATGACCTGTATACCTCCGGTACCTCTACCTCGCAGAGTAATCCGACCCTCCGCAGGATGCCGAGCTATAGTGTAGGGGACGATGCGGGTCTCTTTGCGCCGTCTCATTCTCATAACCCACGACCGACAGACGTAAACGCTCGTTATTCCGAGTGGGGTGCTGGGGACTCCCAAGGAAGTTATAGCAATGACCGACAGGAGTACGCGGACCATCCCAGATATGCACACCTCCCCTCCGCAACCTCACCCCAAATTCCTCGCAGTCGCGCTTCCTCGCAGTCCAGCTATCAGTACCAGTATACCTCATCCATTTCCTCGCCGACCCAGGCGGCGTACAACCCCCAGCAATACGCCGTCCCTTCGACGCCGTCGCAATTAAATTACAACCCCTTGGCATACTCTAGTGCAAACAACAGCTCAGCCCTAGGACATCAACCATACAATCCAGCCGCTTACCAAACCGCCAGCGTCGCTGGCTACGGCTCGGCTGGTGTCCAGCGACACCCTAGTGTTGGCTACGCGCAAGCGCCTCCGACACCGCTCTCCTATGCACCACCGGTTCCCTCGCTACCGCCGCCACCCCCTCCGCGAGGCCCGGATCATCCGTATGGAAGTCGTTTGTCGCCCCAGTATAGCACTCCTTCTCCCGGGACACCTTACGGGTTGGCTCCAACGACCTCATCCTACAACCTTGCCTCCCCGTCAACCCCGGGCGCAACCTATGTGTCATCGTTTGCCGGCATGGGTTCAGCGCAGTCTCGCCCCTACTCCAGCGGATCCTATGGACCGTCCTCTCCCCGCCGATCTGAGTCCGCCACCGCTGCATCTCATGAGGACCAACCCCCAGAACCTCCCGCCCATGCGTCGTCAGGCGACGACTTGTACGGAAAACGACCGAGCTTGACTCGTCCCGGGTCTGGACGATCTTTGCCAACCCCGCCGATCTACCCACCTCAACCACAAATTTCACCGCAGAGAACAGATACTTTGACTCGACATCCTCAGTCGCGCCCACTGCCTGGTCCACCAGTCGACGCGGACGACGATTCTGCTCCATTGACCAACGGAGGGAGTTTACATGGCAGAGCGGATGGAAGAGCCGCCTATGATGACCTGTTGAAAGAAGTCGAGGCGGCAGTGTTAGAGGCTGGGGACCGAAGTAGTCTACGATCGTTACGTTTGGAGGCGCAGAACTCCAACCACGGAGGGGATGGAATGCGTCTCTCTCCTGATGAGAGGCATACGCACACCAATGGTAATATGGCTACGGGAACGGGGCAGTATGTCAATTATGATGCCTACAGCGACGACAGCGATGCCGAGGCGGCCGCAGGTCTCGCGATGTTGCAGATGGCCGATGAGGAAGACAGGATGCGGGCTGAGCGTCTGCAGGAACGCGAACGACGCGAGACAAATGCGTCTATCATCAGTGCATATGCCAGCCAACAACCGGCAGAGACGGGTGATGAGGTAGCACGATACGGCGGAAACATCAGGGGGCAGAACCAGCACGAGGAGACAGACGTATCCACCGACGAGTACGCTGATGCAGTCGACCATGGCCGACTGGCGCCCACCTCCGGCTCGCTGAGGAGCTCGAACGTGTCCGCGGAGGATCGCGGGGAATACTCGGACGACTACGAGTATCCTCCTATGACCCAGGACGCTGAATATCCCTTCGAACTGGTGCCGTCCCATGCGCGCGTTGACGCCGGCGGCACAGGTGGACTGTCCGAGCCTAGTGCCTATGGACGGCGGATGAGCTTCGATTATGGGGATGAGGGAACGTTATCGCCCGTGCGTCGTTCCCATCAATCGGGCAGCGACGACTCTGACGGAGGAGAAGAACCCGGAGACCTCTTTTTTCACCCCGGCATGCGGCCCCTACCGCCAGCGCCGGTGGAACCTGCGAACAGAGCTGATTTAATCCCGCATTTGATGCCGGCGGGGACGTACCGGCATCAGGAGCAGGGAGATTGGCAGAGCGATACTCAGTATACACCCTCCTACTACCCCGTTACTACTGACTCGTACGGGCCGACCGTGCCTAGCCCCTCATCTCAAGTTCCACGGTCGAGCTCTTTATCGAGTCACCCGATTGGACCTCGTACTGACCCCCCTATCAGATCCAAGACCGATGCAGACCGGGCCAAGTACAAGCAACAGCATGACCTGCACCGTCAATCGGGGTCACCGAAGGTGGCGTCCCCACAGGCCGCGGCAGGTATGACCCTGGATCTGCCCACGATTCCCGCCGGGCGCCGCAAGAAGTTCAATCCTACCAAACTGTCCACGGAGCAGTTCCGTCGTTGTACGGAACCGTGGGCGCTGAGTGCCATTCTCGAATGGATTCGGGAGCTCAGCGAGGAAGAGACTGATCTCAAGGAGCACACGATAGTCGATGCCATTGTCGCTTTGTTCACTCATAAGGTGCCGACGATGAACATTGCGGATGCAGAAACACTAGCCGCCCGTGTCGTGCAGAACATGTTGGCGGAGGGGGCCTTGATCAAAGAGGAGGAATGGGTTAAGTTCGGCAATGGCTCTTTGTCCGGTGTTTTGTTCCAGATTACCGGCACAGGATGCTATTCATCTCGGTTGCACGAGCAGGAAACCGAGGTCTTTGGACGCTGCTACTCCCATCACTGTATGCGAACGTTGAAGAAAGTGAACCTGCGAACACAAGTGATGGAGCAACAGAAGAAGGCCGAAGATTGGGTGACCTTCTACAAAGTCCCGAAGGAGTTGTGGGAGTCGTATCCGAAGAAGGAAATTGACCGCCAGAATAATCTCCACGAGATCGTGACCACAGAGGACTCCTTTATTGGGCAATTGGATGTTCTGCGCGAATTGTATCGAGATCAGCTAGCGGGTATGCAGCCAAGCATCATTCCTCCAAAACGCGCCAATAAGTTCTTGAAAGATGTTTTTGGCAAAGTCGATTTGGTGAAGAGGGTTAATGAGGATTATCTCTTGGCCCAGTTGAAGTATCGCCAGAAAGAACAGGGTCCCTTCATCGGCGGTTTCAGCGATATCTTCCGCGAATGGATCCGGAAAGCCAAAGCAGTCTACATTGACTATGCGGCAACGTTTCCTCATGCCAACTATCTTGTTAGGAGTGAAGCGGAGAGGAATATTCAATTCCGGCATTTCCTTGAGCAGGCCCAGAATCACAAGTTATCAAACCGTCTGAGTTGGGACACTTACCTTAAAGCCCCTATCACCCGAATTCAGCGGTATACTTTGTTGCTCGCCACTGTGCATAAGAATATGCTCAAGGATAGCGAGGAAAAGGCAAACCTGGCGCAAGCAATTGAGGAAATTAAGCTGGTTGCCTTGGAATGTGACAATAAGGTGGGTGAAACAAGCAAGAAGGTTAGTCTCATGGAACTATCCGCCAAGTTGCAGCTCCGCCCAGAGATGAAGAGGGAAGTCGAACTGAATCTGGAACATCTGGGGCGTGAAATTGTCCACCAAGGGATACTGCAGCGGCCAGGCACCCGAACCCGTTTCTTACAGGAGACCTATGCCATCCTTTTTGATCATTATCTGGTCCTAGCCAAGCCGGCTCCCAAATACAAGGTTTTCGACGTGTCGAAATTGCCGATCCCCATGGATCTCTTAGTTGTTGAAAGCACCAATGAAGATCCTGTCGTCAAATCCTCAGTTAGAGGCGTTGCCACTGTGACTCAGCCTCAGGCTGTGGCCACCCGCGCTGTAGATGGCAATGGTGCCAACGCTGCTGGTGCAGC